TACGAGTAACCTATGAAATCCATCTTGTGCAATCTTTCGTGACATACGTATCGTTCTGGTCGTCCTACCAACATCTACTTCCTCCCTTTATACATGCATGCGACCACAGGTTATAAGATGCAGGCATCGTGCCCAGCCATCTATTTTTAGATATTAGGGTCTGATACAGCCGAGCCAAGGCAAGTCTTAGTGTGTGTTTTTTTTAGCCCCGGGTAAAGATCAAGTCAAGAACAGCCCTTTAGACCGCGCCTGTGTACCAAAAGCCTTCTTATACGACTTAACACAACACCATATCCTCAAAGCAGCGACGAGGATGTGTTAGATAAATACTGTTGCATATCACAAACAAGCACATACGACCATAGGGTGTGGAAAACAGGGCTTCCCGTCCGCTCAGCCGTACTTAAGCCACACGCCGGGAGGTTAGTAGTTGGGTGGGTGACCACCAGCGAATCCCTTCTGTTGTATGTTTTTCGCTTTTTGTGTTTTATTTCTTTGCCTAGAATTAACTTGCTTGTTTCACTCGGGTAGATTTTTGATGTACGGAACATCTATGAGTCTGCATTGTGTGTGCTGTGGCGAACTAGCTCACCAATGCATCCTACCCGATGAGATAAACAGGCTTTGCCCGCATCGGGAACAATCTACTTCGGTTTCTTTCAATTTGAGAATAAAAATTTTTGCGGTCTCTTGCAATTAAGCAGTCCTCCCTCTAAGGGAACTCTTGGGGCAGTACTCAGTTTTGATCTAGAATTACATCCAGGAAGGCAGTGTCACGCCAAGAAGACATCCATCAAACATTGGGGCAACCGTAGTACGCGCATGTCCATGAACGCAACGAAAGAATGTGAGTCATGATCTTGATGTAATGATTAAGGTATAGGGATGAAGGCAGTTAGCACTAACTCCCCGGTAATATGAAATGCTATAACTTCGTCATTGGCCGGGTGCTGTGACCGTTAATTGCTACTAAGACGGAAAAAAAGCAGAGAATTTGCAAGGCTCTCCTATTTGGGGCTATTCTAAATGTTGTCTTGAATGGCTGAGTGTCTAAGTGGATCTCTCTTTGGCTTTATTGGCTTTAGAGAGCATGTAACGATCGCAAGTGGAGGAACTCTGAAAAACACTGTTATGGTACCGCATGCAGACTGTACTGTTGCAGCATCTGTCCTGGGTGGGCAATAGATGAACCAATGGTTTGATCGTTATTACGTCCGAAAAAAATCCAATTCAGTGCATTTAGTGGTCAAAAAGTCTGTTTCTCACTCATAGAAACGGAAAGTGGGCAGGCATGTCCCTTTTTCCCAGAGTATGATAGCATATAATCATATAGCATCATCATCGGTCACTCATTTTCCTGCTTTCTTTTACGATATCCTCACCTTTGAATCTGTTTCCGGCAAACGCACAAATGCCCTTGGTCATCGCAAACTGAAGTGGCACATTCGTTGCAAGTACCAGGCATACTCGAGATCTCCTGACCAGTTTCTTCCGGAAATAAGTCGAATGCTATGACATAGTTGATGCTACATACTTGGAGTCATGACTTCGAATGCTATATGGTAGTATTCATGATCGCAAAAACCTTGACTGTTTGCTATACCCTTTTCGGTCACTATGCCAATAGGAATGTGTAGTCGACCTCTTGCGAACATAGGCCGGGCAATGTCCTGGCCACTGACGGAAGCGTAGCTTGAAGCTCCCTAACCGAATATAGTAAGCCCGAATGAGGGAGAACATAGATTGAGTGACATGCTTCCCTCGATAAAACAACCATCTTCTTCGTGTTGCTGACATTACCAGCACCGTTAACCCTGTCTCGGAAGGAAGGGATGTCTAAGTGATGAATTAGTGACAAGCCCCTTGAAACCGACACTCCTCTGAATTACAGCTAGTAGGGGTCATGTTTCTGTTGAATCCACTTGGCTTCTACCTTGCCTAGACACTCGCCTTTGAGGGCAGGAATTCCATATACGGGTAATGAAACGGCGGTTCATTAATACAAGGCTCGTTATTTTCAAACTTGAAAGATTACCACGGTATTCGGATCGGTAACCGACCGGAATTTGGCGCTAAGAAATGTCCAAACCTTATCGCCGAGGAGACAGGCGGGGCCCCAAATCCCCCAAGAACCCCCTTGCGTTGCCAGTTACGGACTAGGTAAGTGATAGACAAGTCATATCAATTAGAATTCGCGCTAGCCACTGCTTACTTAGGGCTCATTCCAACTAGTTCGAATCTCGTGCCTGGCATGATGGCGCCCTTGGCTTCTTCTTTTTCTTGGTGGCTTGGAGGGGTTGGTGGCAATACCTGCCATGATTCGAAGGGTTTGAGGGCTTTGGTATCTGTGCAATGAATACAGCAAGCCTTTCCAGTTTCATTCCCCTGTGGGTGAGCCTTTGTTGATTTTCTTTTTTTTTTTTTTTTTTTTTTTTTTTTTTCCCGGGTGCCTGCGTTACTTGGGGTGAGAATTCTGGCGATTGGGTCTGATTCGGAGGGCCAATATGACCTCAGTTATCGGATATACTACTGCCCTGTGATTACTAGATCACTGTGATGGAACCCCATTATTATAGACATAAATGATAGCTTATATTAAGTAAAGGCAGGGTAAACTGTACCACTTGCGTCCATTAAGCCTTATCGACTGCCGTAGCATTTGTGACTAATGATCATATTGATCAAATTATGGCCTTCATGTTCTTCCTAGTATACCCTATAGTCTTACAGCTGACCCAAATAGTAGTTTTGAATCCTAAATGCTCTTTACATTTGATTATTATCTGATTTTTATTAATATCAAGTAGCTTCTGTCATCATTGGCCTCTTCTGTCCAATTTCCATAATGAAAAGACAGAACACAACTACTATAGTATTTCTGCAGAGATATAATATATATATGCCCCTTCCTGGTATGTATTCCACCACATATAGTACTACAATCTCGGCGACAAGCTAGGTATATTTCATATATTGCTCCTCAAATTTACTATAGGTGATTAGAGATCTATATACAATGTATATATCGCAACCAAACGTTTGTAATAGCCATACACTAGATGATAACATGCAATATACTGCCTAATATTACGGGTATATGGACCTACACGTAGAATGCTCTAGACTTCCGAGGACTTATGCTGTTGAAATCTCACACATATACTTTGGTAACTGTATGAGCAGATTAGGAATGTGTGAGTGAGTACAAGAGTCCCAATGGAGCTTTCTAGGTGAAGAGGTGATGTCAAAAAGCATTGTGTTCGTTGTCATTGTAATCTACTACAACTACCCTTCATGACTAGCTATGAATGATCCACGATAAACCTCAAGGTCTAGCTTTTTCCATAATTATAGGTCCCTGATAACACAGAAAGCTCAGCATCATGAGCTTCCCTGTGCTACAGTTACCGTAGGTATTGCCCAGCCCCGAAATCATCTTCCCCTACAACCCGGCCACAAAGTCACAATGAAGTATACCCGTTTGCCAAGCGCAAAACATGTATACTTCGCCGTGGCTTCGTGGATGAGACGAAGAGAAGAGACGTGGTAGATGGAGCCGGAAACCAAACTACAACTCGCAGCCAAGCGAAGCTCTGGGGAAGAAAAGGAAAAAGAGATCGAAACTCAAGGGTGCTTGGTTTATATGTCTCTCGAAGTGCTTAATCGCTTGTCCTACTGCGCCCCTGGTACCTCGCAGGCTCCAAGACTTCGCATTCCTTGCCCGCTTTCAGACGGTAGTCCGTAGTCGTGAAGTAAACTAACGCGCGAATGCAAACTAACTCTTTTGCTTCCAAGGGGTGCACAGTGAATACCCCAAGGCAATTTGGAATTTCGAGAGTCATTATTAGAAAAAAATTCTCAAAGGCTAATTGAGTGTCTGACAATTTTCAGGGCAGGCAAATTGTTGCCTTGCTAAGGGTCATATGAGATGGATTTTTGGAGAGCCGGTACCTCGTGTCTACAGACACCAAAAATCTTAGTATCGCCTAGCATTCTTAGCATTTAATCTTGGCGAAGGGGCAACCTAGATACCATCTAATCCCTCTATAGGACTTAGGGAGGCAAACCTTGGGGATACTTTACAGAGAATCACCGGGGAACGGTGGCTGAGACCTAACAATGAAGGGAGATTGACTGATAGTGCGATGTAGCCCCGAAACATACGAAATTGGGCTCAATGAAACCTGATTCCTCGATATTCCCGGCTCGACTTGAATTGTTACCATAGGCTGAAGTGGATTCCCTTGCCACCAACAAGCTTCTGTACTGAAAGCATGAATGAAGCTCATGCAAACGTGCCAAGCACATACATGCGCTGCGGGTGGGAGGACTGCAAGGTACCATTCTAGCCTTCGCTTCCCCACAGCTGGGCTAAGAAAAAGAGGTATTTCTAGCGAAAGCAGGTGCAGCGTTGACACAGGGTACTCCGCCAAGCTATTAAAGCCTCCTTAAACAGACTCATATACTACACTGGTACGATACAAGGGATGTAATCAGAGTCATGAACTCGTTACATTGAAACTCCTCGGTCCACACTGAGCAAGAAATCCTTCTGGTCATCCGCCCGCCAGGTCAAAACCTCAGCTGTTTGCATCTAGGCACACGCGTACATTCCCGTTCTAACCATGGCAGATCTATCTCCATATCCTTGGAAGGGTCATAGTCCCAAGACACAATTTTGTAAAGACATCGAGGTTTAGATGATCGTCGTTAACTGGTATGGGAGAGCGAGAATTGGATGTCTCAGTCACAGTGACCCATAACTTGAGAATTTCGTAGGGGCTCGCAGCAATCCAAGTACTAAACATAGTAAGAGAATGAGAGAGGGGAGTCTCCACCTCGAGCTATAAATCTCGTCGAAATCCCCTGCTAAAAGTATCATTCATCATCAACCATTCACTCGCTCATCAAAGCATTACTTCTCTGTCTCTCTCTCTCTCTCTCTCTCTGAACACTCGTTTCTATAGAACACTCGTTCAATTTTCCAACTACCCTTCAAAATGAAGTTCGCTGTCGCTGCTATCCTTGGCTTCGCCATGACTGCCGTTGCTATCCCGGCCGCTAAGGGAAGCCAGAAGAAGCTGTCCATCGACGACGCTTCCGGCCAATGCTCGATTGGGGACATCTACTGCTGCAATCCCACCAACAGTGAGGAAACTGACGGTGCTCTGAACAATGCACTCAGGGAGGGTCTTCTTATTGGAAGCCTCGTCAATGGCAAGGGATCTGCCTGTGCTCCCACTTCGCTCATTGGGAGTCTCAACCTGCTTGGTAAGGCTAGATCATAGTTCAAGAGAGATAACAAAGAACAAACTAACAATCCTTAGCCTTCTTCGAAGAGGGACAGGATGACGATAAGTCCTACTGCAAAAACACCATCGCCTGCTGCCCCAACGGAAGCGTAAGTCCATCATCAGCCACTATGACCTACTGTTGGAAAGTAAAAGCTTGCTGACTTGGAATCTTACATCAACAGTGCGCAGCCCTTGACGGATACTAGAGGGATGCATAATCAGCCCCACTGGCCTCGTGCAGATGACACAGGCTCAACGGCATCAATTTGCTTGGGATCAAGCTTCGTGGAGTTTTCATATCAGCTCCATCTGCTGATTGATTTCGTGTTAATGGCCCAGGCATCCCAGACCTTGGTCGGCCGATGTACTTTTGGCTTTTGTGTCTTTTTAGACTAGAGTTTAGCTTAGCTTAATAAAAAGAAAGGGTTTTGTCCGTTTCGCATACAGCTTCAACAGGATCGTAGCTTGCTCGGTGTACGATAGATTTTGTACGCCTTTGAGGGTCCAGAAAGGAAGCCCCTCTGTATACCTCGAAGAAAACCAAAAGTAAATTTTTATACCGTTATCTTGTATACCAATCTATGATTTAAGATCCATACTGCTCTACAAAGTCTCGTGTCGAGCACTTCACGGCTGCGCGACTTTACTGCGAACTTTCGTCTAGCAGAAACGGCAGCTTAACTTTATTGCTCTCGCAAGTCCGGGATCCTCCGATAGCCAGTCTCCATATAGTGCTCTCTATTATCCCTACGATGTCGGAATAGGTCATGAGAAATGGCAATGCCTATTGAGTATCTGAATAAGTCCGAAGGGATAAAATTTGTGTTTTGACAGCATTTTGCGCGTTTTTCCACGCAAGTAGGCAATCTCAACTGGGATGTTAGATTGGCTTGCATTACAGGGGAATACAAAAGCATGACAAACAGACTGAAGGGGTATCTTTGACCAATTTAGACTGCCATACTACTGCGCACTGACCTCTGCGTCCTTGGAGGGAGTACATTAAAAAGCGTTCTAGCCCATATTTCTAGCCCTAATTTTGTATTCGCTTCCCAGATTCGATCTTAGCTGCATGCAGCAATGTCTCACTCCCCAAATGACTCGCATCTTGTTCAGATCAGGAAACAGATCGCTAGGGAGCTAAGCCGCATCAGGGCTATCGATGGTGGCGTATGTAATGCCGCCACGGATCATACGACCTTACATACCTTACCACAATGGGAAGTATTTCACATACAACGTAATTTTCAACGTAGGGATTGTGCTGGCTGTCATGGTTCGGTTGCAGTGGCTAGTAGAACCCGGGCGTTTTTTATTTCCTTTACTTACTGATAGACACCTCTCTGGCATAGCATACAGAGACAAATGCCATTGATTTCAGTAGGAGTAGTTGCCCCTTGGTTCCTTGGATGTGTTCGTCAATTGGGTGAGAAAATCGCCATTTCAGGGTGTTCCTAAACAATTTTAACCGAACTAGCAGTTTGGCACTGTCTCTTATTTCTATAGTAGCAGAAGACGTTTTGCTGCACTCTTCATAGCAGCAGTCATCGAGTGATAAGATGACTGACAGTTGCGTCAGGCCATCCAAAAGGCCAGGGTATGGCACTCTGGGCCACCCAATCAATCTTTATGCAAATTACTTTCAGTTGGACTTCCAGCCTAATCTCCAATTACATCGATATGAAGTGCGCGTTTCGCGATCAGAGCCAGATGCGGTCGTGATTGTGAGCAGACAAATAGTGACCCAGGTGATCCTCCAGCTTCTCAAGACGGTGCTTGTGCAATTCCAGGAAAGCATTGCCTCCGATGGCTACCAAAACCTCATCTCAAGTCGCATCTTACCCTGCTATGACGGCCCCTATAATGTGGTATATCAGCATGACTGCTATCAAGTCACGCTACTTCCAGTTGGAATCCTTCAGTTTCCCCAGGTTATCAAAATGCTCAGAGGTGATACAAGGAACCAAGGGCCGCCGCTGACCGAAGCACATATTCATGCGTTGAATATCATTCTGGGACACCAACCCAAATTCTCACCACACATCAGATCTGCCGGTACGGGAACTTACCTCAACCTCGACTCGCGGATGAGCCTGGGCTCGGGGCTACATATTCTCCGGGGACTATTCATCGTCGCTCGTGAAGCGCAGGGCCGGCTATTTGTCAATGCAGCGCCAAAAATTGCAATCTGCTATGATGACTGCCCGCTCGACAAAATTATCTTGATGCACATGCGCCAAAACGGACCAGACATGAATAAAGTTGTTGCACTGCTTCGGAATCTCCGCGTCCAGCTTACACACCTGGGTATGCGCAAACGTGCTGGAAAATTCGCGCCGCGGCTCAAAACAGTAGTAGGTTTGGCAGCACCAGGAGATGGTTACAGTCTGGCATATCCCCCTAAGGTGCCATGCCTCGGGGCAGGAGCTAAGGAGGTCCAGTTCTTCCGCGAATCACGCTCACAGGGCCACGAGGTAGGGGACGTGACGGTTCTGGGAAGCCGGAAAAGAAAGCGACCTTCGCCTGAAGGGTATATCACTATTTTTGAATACTTTCGGTCAGGTAAAATCATTATTCCCGCCGTCACTAGCTTGGGTTCCGACTGATTTATTTTATAGTCTATAATATTACTGTAAACGATCCATGGCTTCCCGTTGTCAACGTTGGGACCCCCTCAAATCCTTCCTACTTGCCTGCTCAAGTCTGTCGGGTGCTTCCTGGTCAGTCTGTGGCTGCATCTATAGCCGCCTCTCAGTCCCGTCAAGGCGCCCGTATCGATACAGCTCGTCGCGGGACCAGAAGCACTTCGGCTTCTCAGATCACCTCAATAGAGACAGAGCTCTCAGATATCTTGGGCATGTCTCACCCCAATAGAGGAGCGAACTTGGTAAGTTGGAAGTTTGAATGACCTGACAAGGTTAATGACCAGCACTAACTTAAGCTTTCTATTATGTATTACTTAGACTTCATTCGGGATTACTGTTGCACCGAGCATGGCGAGAGTGTCTGGTCGCGTTTTGGACTCCCCTGCTTTAGAATATCGTCAGGGACAGCGAGCCTCTGTGCGCGCAGGAGGCTGGAATCTACGTGGGATGAGGTTCGCCGGGAGCACGTCAGTCTCCCAGTGGACCTATTTATGGCTTTCGACGCCCGGTCGCTCCCATGGTATAGGTCCAGAAAGAGCTCTCATTGAAGTCGCTATACGAAAGTTCCGCATACATCTGAAGTCACTCGGCCTCATTATTCCTGAGCCTAGTTGTCCGGGTATCAATGTCAGCGTGACTGATAGTGCTTTACGACGCGAAAGTGATGCTGACAAGCTAGCCCATGCTCTCGCGGCCATAGTCGAGTCAACAATGTCATTCCTACTGATTATCCTCCCACAAGCTGCAGAAGGTCTGTACAGCAGGATCAAGTTTCTTTGCGATGTCCAATTTGGAATCAGAAACGTGTGCGTGGTGGCGGACAAGTTCCTTCGATCAAATGATCAATTCCTGTCGAATGTTGCTCTGAAGCTCAACTTAAAGCTTGGAGGGATTAATCAGAAGTTGCTTTCTCCAAGCCTTGACATAATAAGTGACGGCAAAACTATGGTAATTGGGGTTGATGTAACGCATCCAAATTCAGGGAACCTTCCAGCACGGGCTCCCAGCGTGGCCGCCATGGTAGCCTCTGTGGATCGCTACTTGGCGCAATGGCCAGCAGAGATATGCACTCAACCCGCCCGTCAGGAGCTGGTCACGCAGCTTGGTGTACTTCTCACCTCAAGGCTGCATGCATGGCAGAGGCGGAACCATGGAAAGCTCCCTGAAAATATCCTGCTATACCGCGATGGCGTTTCAGATACACAATATGGGAGTGTCCTCAGCGTGGAGCTCCCTCAGCTACGCAAAGCATGCAGAGACTTATACAGTAGTCTGGGTCTTGATGAGCCTCGAATCACCATTGTCATTGTGGGAAAACGACACCACACCCGATTTTTCACGCCCACGAGGACAGGTCAGCGCAATGGCCGGTCATTTCAAGACACTAATCCACCCAACGGCACCATCGTTGATCACGGCCCAGCCAGTAGCAGTAAGGTCTGGGACTTTTACCTACAGTCTCATACTGCCAGTCGAGGAACTGCTCGCCCTGCACACTATGTTGTGCTGCTCGACGAAATTTTCCAGCCCCCTCCCAACGATCTGCAATTTAGAGCCTCTCCTAATCCGGTGAATTCCATCCAAGCCTTGACCCACAATATATGCTACGTCTCTGGCCGCGCAACGAGGGCATCCAGCATCTGCCCACCTGTGTTCTACGCCGATCTTGCTTGCTTCCGAGCGCGGTTCTATGTGGAAGAGTTGCTTCGTCGATCCTCCCGGGACACTGGGTACGTGTTATCTCCGGATCAGCTGCAACTATCTTTGCATGAAAATGTCAGGGATACCATGTTCTACATTTGAGCGTGGGGGCCACTTAGAATCGCGCAGTGGCCTTCCAAGCAGTGGAGATATGATACTGTAAACAAGTGTAAGGGTTACAGGAATGCCATTTCTGTTGTAATGTTACCATCTTGTAAATTTCACGTTACCGTTCTTACCGTATGGTGTAAGCCGGCTGTTCTCCGCCGGCCGAGTACGGAACGTGTCAGTTTCAAATCGAGGGAAGGGATGGGCCTCCCCAACAATGACAGCAGCGAAATCGAACCTTGTCCAAACGTCAATATATATGACTCAATCGTGATGAGATAGGATTTACTCATTATTAGCATCTTTAATGCTCTGAGTCTAAGGCAGTTACGATGAACTTCGTCAAACGAGGTTTGGAAACGGTGCTGTGGGAAAACGACGTAAAACTCTATATGTCAGGAACTCCAAGATTCCTATTGGCCAGATCGGCCCGTCTAAAGTTTCCCCAAGCCCACAACCACTATTATTGGTCGGCTCTTCTTTCCATCCGTAATAGGCAACTGCCAATATACCCCCAAGGTCTATCGGGCTCCTGCCAGTTAGGGCTTACGGTTGCGTTCCCCCTTGAGTGCCAGAGGAGGTCATAATCCCAGCCCCACAAGTGTCTCGATGTCAAGATTGCCTGTGCTCCATATCTTTGCTGTCATGGCTCGCCAGATCCTATCTCAATTACTTGGCCCCATTGCATGCCTGCCCGCAGCTACCACCCCCTGCGATCCTTCGCTTCAGTAAGGCCAATCTAATAGATCGCCACTGTGGCTCAAATTTAGCTCTTGCGGGTGTGCAGCACAAGAAATGTGCTGGTGGAGGGTTGGCAGGTTAATGGGATCAACTCAACATCTTAGCTATTCTTCCTCCTGCCATCGGAGTACTCTACTCCACATTAGATTTCCTGCACCACGTACGAAATGTAGCATGCTTACCTTTGTCGTTAACTTTCGTCTTGTCTCTCCACAATTGAGAACAGAAATGAATGCAAGACAACGCTCGACTATCACTCTAGTCCTCGTTTCTCCGCGGGATGAGGCTACGATTGATTATCCATTCCATTTTCCATACTCATGAGAAAATAGCCACCAACATCTAGCCTGAATAGACCTAGAACATACTGTCTCAGGCCCATTTCAGAAACCTGGTAACATTCAGGGGCCTTTTACATCCATACCTGAGTCACATCGTTCCTGTCTTTACTCGAACGCTCCACTATCCATCCCTGGAGTCTTCGTCATCAGAATCAAGTCCTCATGGAGAATCTCAGAGCATGGAGAAAGAATGAAGTCTTCCCAAACTAGGAGTAACCGTTTCCGGTCGAGGAGCTACTTTGCACACAGCAACGAGGACCCCTTGTAACATATCTCCACCAGAGCCGAAGGGAGCAGATGAATCTATTCCAACCGAAGGAGGTTTGGAATGGAGGTCTAGGTTCTCCCTGGGAGAAGAAAGCGAGAACAGACCAGGCTTCAGGAACGTTGCATTGTTGGATCGACCTCTCCTCCTCGCAATTGTGATCCAGAGACCTCTGTCAACGGTTATAAAAGGGGTCCCAGTATCCCGGTCAAGTCAGTCTCTCATCCATCCATCAATCATCCATCACTCCAAGCCATCACATCAAGCCTTCCTCACAGTTCTCTTTCAATTCCGATTTCTTCAATCACCAAGCCAAAATGCAGTTCACTCTCACCAAAGTTCTTGCCTTCGCCCTCGCGGTGGCCACCGGCGTTTCTGCTGGCGCTGTCGCTGATTCCCAGGCCATCAAGCAACAGACTGAGGGCAAGTGCGATATTGGCAACGTGTCTTGCTGCAACCCAACCAACGTCGACAAGACTGATGGCTTCCTCAACAACCTACTCGAGTGGGGTGTCGTCGGTAGTCTGGTCAACGGTCAGGGAAGCGCTTGCGCTCCGGTCAGCCTCATTGATGAGCTTGGTATTCTGGGTATGACTGATCCTTTACATCCAAATCCAACCTTAGCCTTGGAAGATACATCACTGACATTTATGAACGCATGTAACAGCCCTCGTCAAGGATACCCCCGATGGACCTGTCTGCGAGAACGTCATTGCTTGCTGCCCCGGTCAGGGTGCTCAGGTACGTTTGTTCTCATATTTCTTTCCTTCTCAAACATGTTCCTCTCTTCCATCTCGAAGGTGACTGTTCAAGACTAACGTGGCTGTTTTCGTACAGTGTGTCGCCATCGGTGACGGCTCTGGCTCTGGCTCCGGCTACAGCGACTAAGCGGGCTCACGTCCCTCGTCTAATATACGGTTTCGGTCTCTGTGACTGACATACTCGACTCTGGAATAATTTGAAGCAATCTCAACTCCAGATTTTGCTCTTTCCCGAGAAAAGTGTCTTGTTGGGCTGTGCCGGTGTTGAATGGACTCCATTGTTTGTTTAGATAAAGATCGCTTTAGAGTAGTTTATAGTGCAATTTCTTATTAGAAATTGTCACTTTAGTTTAGTCTCAATTATATGTGCTTTTAGTAATTTTTGTTTCTTGGATACTTGTATTGAGTGAGATCACATCTTAGAGAGCAATCGTAATGCATGGACGTCGCCTCGGTTTCTTGTGTGTAATGTAATAGCTTTTATCCAAGATACTTCAATAAGTACTTACAACTCGGCAGTAGTAATGATAATCTAGCAGTTGCTATAACATCATCGAAAAGACACACTTCTGGTTGTAGACAAAATTTGCCCTTGTGAGCTAAAGTTAAAACACCACTGAGATACAACCTGTTATAGCCAAACATCTTTGAATATTCGCGAAAGCTTTTTCTTGGTATAATATGTCTGGTGTCATATATAATAATAATATCAGAGTGGAAATAATATGCTGCATATATATATATATTCAGTAATACTACTTGGTACATGCTCTATTTTGAACTCAACCACTAAATCATCTCTGCATGTCTGTTCTTTGTCAGTACGGAAAAATGTGATTGAACCCCTTAGTCCTTTCAAGTCTACACATACTGATTATGCTTTGTGTATAGTGGTAGAGCCTGGATAGTATACCTGTCCAGGAAAATATATTCTCACAACAGGAACAGAGGGGGACATCATTCGTATCGTACGAGTACAGATCATTTTAATGAATATGTTAGGACTTGACAATAGACAAATGAATAACAGCTAGGCTCATCTCTCATGGGAAGTGTGGTTTTTCGCATTGAGTAGACTATTTAACTATCCCATTGGCAGTCTATGCATGCCTGAGGTAGTGATATGATTCAAGTAGTCTTCAGGGTATCGGCGTACAGATATATAAGCTGACTACTAGGCACTAAGTTCTGATTTGAAGAGATTATACAGCAGCACCCTTCGCTCTGCTTCACCAAACACGAGATTCATTTGATGACCTCTGTATGTTTGGGGCCTGAGGCTTTAACGTTCAGCACCACGTGATGTCTAAGACATCTTTGATGTGCCTGAGGCTGCGAAAAGGGCGTCGTGGGAAAGAAGACCTTCTCGAATGCTGTGGAAAGATTGAGTAGATATCATGATGATTTCATATACACCATGCTTTTCTAGAATCTCTCAGAAAAGTCTTCCTGCTGCCCTGTGAGGCGAGTGTGGCAAAAAGTGGCGTAAGCGGATGCCGGGGTGTGGAGGTGTCTTTTGTAAAGGATGGATACTTATACGGGCCGAATCTTGCCTCCGCGTATCTCATTGATCGGCAATTCCACCGCCTGCAGCTTTCTGCCCCTTTTGTACCCCATCAAAATCGCGCACTTGACCTATTATCGACCATCTCTATCAGCCAACTCTTTGTACTTGAAGAAATCTGTCAACGAAATGATAAAAGCAACAAGGGGATAACACAGGATTCACTGCGCCCCGCGCAGCCCCTGCGGAGTACAAAGGACAAAGAAGGAATATTTTGCGATCACAGAAGTAGTGGGCTGGCAGAATTCAGAGATCCGCTGATAACGCTAGCGCTTTGTTTCGCACTGTGCCAAGGTAGGAATTTTTTGCGATATTGGGGGACTGGCGGAATGCTGGGGCCCACTGATACAACCCCAAAGTACGGAGTACCAACGGTCTTATAGGCATTTCCAAAGGGGCAGCATTGTGACATAGTGGCCTTGTCATTGTTGGTCATTGCCACAGCTAAAGCGAAGATTGGTGATTCACAAATCCTTCGCATTTTAGTAATTGATGATGCTGAAGATTATCGGATTTGCCGCTACCATTGAAGTGGAAATCAAAATGTCATTTGAGAAGCACATCCATCTGATGTGGGATGAACAATGATAGTAGACAGACTCGTAGTCTTGGGTTCCTTCTGCAGGACAAGCGTATGATGCTAGTCAACAGTATAGATGAATTGCCACAAGACTAATCGGTTGAGGACCTTGAGATGCCGACAAACATTATAAGCATCCGTCAATAAGCACCAAGTTTACCCCCTCATAACCACAGACAAGCTACTTGTCATCTGCCAAGGTATGTGATTGGCTGAAGTGATCAGCGAAGTTCTTCAGTTGTCAATCGTGATAGTTAATAATCTTGTTATAAATTCCGTTTTTGTGTTTGACTTGTGGTGGTGGGTCTTGAAGATCTCTATGATAAGAACCAGAGTTGGGACTATCGTGGACACCCCACGTTTTCCGCAATGACTTTCCCCTTGGATGTGGGCTTACAGCTCCGACGGGGTTAGGGGAAACTCCGCGGGGTTGAAGTCGGCCGATACTGTTTAGGGGTTATCGGTCTACTCCATAGCTTTTCGTGTCAGCTACTCTTTCAAGCAGGTGGGCAAAAGGATCAGAGTCTTTTTTCTATTAATAATTATGTAGGGATAGTCAGTCACCTGACACCCTCTTCAATTGAATTTCGGAGTTTTAATAAGGTTGGATGCCTGGTGATGCCTGATAATGCCTGGTTCAACAGGAGCTTCGTAAATAATCGCTTCCTCAATAATTAATTGAGAACGGGACTAAAAGTAACAGTAGGGAAGACGTTGAGCTGAGTATGTTGGCTCATTTCCACCGCAGTCATTGTACTTTGTACACCTCAGACAAGAAGAGGAATACTTCCAAGCTCACCGAGAGTCATTGAAACACCGACCAGGTCCTCGAGGGGCCAGAACAGGCAGAATAAGCCAGAACAGCCCGATCAGCCAGATCATGGAGGGTTGGGGCAATTAAAGGGGGTCAGGTGATGCAGTCAGGTGGCACATGTTCGGTATCAAAAGGGGCAGGTGCGATATGAAGTATCAGAAATTCTCCCAAGACCTAAGGAAAAAAGAAAAAAAAAAAAAAAAAAAAAAAAAAAAAAAAAAAAAAATCTCTGATGGCCACCCGCACTAAAAGCTGACCCCGGACAAAGTACGTTATGCATCTTGGTCGGGATTGAAATTGGACTGGTCAGGGGCTGAGAAATCCTGGAGCATCCCGCGGCTGCCGACCGATCACCTGATGGTCTAGAATTGTTCTGCTTCATAGCCCTTATTCACTTGGTCCGACATACAGTACAGTAATACTCACTGTACTCCGCAGCTATCTAGCTATCTACTTTGTACAAGTGGACTTGCTTAATTAAATTAAAAATGTGCAGGGATTAAGGTTCGTCCGAGAGCGTGTCCGGTGATGCCGGCAGCCCGCGTGTGCGGCGCGACCGAAAGAGTAGATCTAATTAATCTGCTTTGGCTCACCTGCATTATGATTTCTATCTACTGCGTACTGTTGTTCAATGTTGCTACTGTGTCTTCTCCTCCCCCACGCGCCGACCATTTGAATTTTTATTATTCTGGAGCTTCACCGGAATTCCCGCCACCGCGGTTCATCTTCCAATGGGTCGGAATGGAGCCAATTGCTCGTCGACTCCTCCCTCCTTCTTTGTGCTCCATCCAACTGGGGCCACACACCCCCCGATCCACCATGGATCCAGTCCGCGGCTTGCTTGGACAGCACCGGTCCGAAAAAGCAAGGCTACCGGTCCATAATCCATCTATTCGAGGCTATTGGAAGTTTACAACGCCACCGCATGACGTAATACTATTCCCGGCAGACTCGGCGGCGATCAGAGCGATCGGCGGTCAAAACCGGCGGTGACCCTGCGAAGCTCCAGAAGCTCTCCTTCAACATTTTGTTTCTCATTCCCCGGCCAGCTTTGAAATAACTTCCCTTGCTCTCCCTCCCCTTTTTCTACCCTCTTCTCCTCCTTCTTCCTCTCCTCCTCTCCTTTCTCCTTCATCCTCCCATACACAATGGGTCCCCTCAAGCTCAACACTGCGAATTTGTCGCAAATCGTGGCGGCAGGTGCCGGCCGCGTTAAGGTCCCGACTTACCGGCGCGGTTCTGCCCTCAAAGAAGGAATTGTCCATGTCGGCGTGGGCGGTTTTCATCGCGCGCATCTGGCGGTCTACGTTGACCAGCTGATGCAGAACCATGGCGTGACAGACTACGCTATCTGCGGTGTTGGCCTTCAGCCCTTCGATTCCACCATGCGTGATGCCCTGGGTTCCCAGGACAACCTCTACACCGTCATTGAACGTTCGGCCAAGGGCAGCTTTGCCAATGTCATTGGCAGCATCAATTCCTACCTCTTTGCTCCTGATGATCGCGAAGCCGTCATTGCTAAGATGGCGCACCCGGATACCCGCATCGTGTCTCTCACCATCACTGAGAGCGGTTACTACTACAACGAGAACACCCACGAGCTCCAGAGTGAGCACCCGGACATTCAATTCGACTTGGACCCCGCCAACGAAAAGGCCCCCCGTACTACCTTCGGTTTCCTCTACGCTGCCCTCGCCCGCCGTCACCAGCAAGGTCTCATGCCCTTCACCGTCATGTCCTGCGATAACATGCAGAAGAATGGTTCCATCACCCGTCACATGCTCGAGTCTTTCGCCCGTCTCCGCAACCCCGAAGTCGCTCAATGGATTACTGATAAAGGTGCTTTCCCCAACGCTATGGTCGACCGTATTACGCCTCAGACGTCTCCCGCCGATAAGGAGTCTCTCGCGAACACTATGGGTATTGAGGACTCTTGGCCTGTCGTCACCGAACCGTTTATGCAGTGGGTCATTGAAGATCAGTTCTCCGATGGCCGTCCGCCCTTCGAGAAGGTCGGCGTCCAAGTGGTCAAGGACGTGCACGCGGTCGAAGAGTTCGAGAAGCACAAGCTCCGTCTTCTGAACGGCAGTCACTCCGCCATTGGATACCCTGGTCAGATGGCAGGCTTCAACTATGTCCACGAGGTCTTGGAAAACCCGGATTTCAACAAGTTCGTCTGGCAGATGATGCAGGAAGAGGTCAAACCGTCCTTGCCTGAGATCCCCGGTGTCAACATCGATGAGTACTGCAAGACCCTCATGGAACGTTTCTCCAACCCCACCATCATGGACCAGCTGCCCCGTATCTGTCTCAACGCATCCGGCAAGATCCCCCAGTTCATCATGCCCTCGATTGCCGAGGCTATCTGGGTGAACGGCCCCCTCCGCCGTCTGGCCTTCGTCGCTGCTGCTTGGTTCCGCTACATCAATGGTGTTGATGACAAGGGTAACACCTTCGCCGTCGAGGACCCTATGCGTGAGGAGCTCCAGGCCAAGGCCCGTGCTGGTGGTACTAAGCCCTCCGAGCTGCTGAGCATCACGACTCTGTTCGGTGACGATCTGCGTAACGACAAGCGCTTCATGCAGGAGATCACCAATGCTATGGAGGACATTGCTCGGGACGGCATCTTGAAGACGCTTCCCAAGTACATTAATTAGTCGCTTCCAAATCGAAGCGGTGTAATTAATCTCCTTGCCGGTGTTGAATTTTTCTACGATTAGGGAATGTTTGGGACTGCAAGCGATATTTATACTTTTTCTTGGTTTACATGTGTCATGCGGGTGCGGTTTTTACAAAAAGGGATGTTAAAGGATAGATAATGATAGATTGATCTAATGCTATGTTTTGGGATTCGGGCCACGTCATAAACTGACGGGCCAATGGTTATGGTACTCACTTCATTCTATTGACATTTAATTCCCTCCCCTGAGCTGTAGAGAATCATGAAGACACAATCTTCCGTAAACTCAAATCCTACTACAGAGGTGTATGCTATCCAGGTGACTTCATCGTCCGAGCCACTCAAGGAATGCTACTATAGTAATAGCAACGTGTACTCTGTAGCTCTCAAGTATTGAGCTTCCCGACCGACCATCTACTTCCCGTTACCAACCACCACCAACAATTCCATCACCACAACAAACCTTACGCCGCAGTAGGTGGCTAGCTAACTAACGCCGTTACCACAATTCTCGTCCATCACCTAGGACCATAACCCTGGAATAGAATGAATTATCCCCAGCTCTTGACCGCCCAAGCTCATAGATAATTATTGGCATCAATCACACGGTCGGTCGCCACCAACTCTTATGCAAGATGACCTGCACCCTTTTGTCTTTATCATCTGCATAACAATCCTCCGGCATCAAGAACACGTAACCAATCCAAATCATCATTGCTTGGCTTGACGTATGTATGTGCGATATGTCTGACACGCTAGATTGCACCGACAGATTGAATGAAAACTTAGATATGACATGCCGCAGAGTGCAGCAGTAAGCAACAGATAACTCAAAAGATACTAACTACTCATTACTACCAACTTGAATTCATTTACCAGATTCAAGGCCACGTATCCCTCCATCCGACTGACTCGCCAACAGCCGGTCAGCCAGCCCCTCTCATCCCTTGATGGGAGGGGAAGGGATGGAGATAGAATTAGAAATAGAGTACAATAAGCCCCTTCCGAGATTACCGAGATTTAGCATACTATGCCAAATACTACCACAGGACATGACCTACCTTATCTAGTCAGGGCTAAAGAGGCTCTACGTATCTAACCATGGCTTACTCTACTTGACCAGGATATAGCAGAGGCCAACAAAGACACGCCTCACCTTAAACCGTTCCCCTCACAGTATCCTGAGAGAGGATACCTAATAACCGCGCTAGCACCCAACTCTCCAGTGAATTAAGAACCGAGCAGTTCTCATGGCTAGACCCACGGTTCCGTAGTTTGAGTTTGATTACCAGTGAATACTAGCATTAAGGCTGATACCCTGTGCCGTGTTCCACTTTTAACATACTTTTCAAGCCATTCAACCCTCCGCAATGCCGATTTTCCCCATCGATGAAGCCCAAAATCAGCTCGATTCTTGTCCTCAAGAAATCAATTTTTGCAGTCATAATTTTACTAATGCCGCTCTATATTCAAGAACGGCAAGGTGGCCGAGTGGTTATGGTAGTCATCAAAAAGAGACTACACATTCAGCCTCTCCAAAGGCCAGGTCGCTTACTCTGTTGAAATCTCATTCGCCTCTCCAATATCAAACCGATGCCTTAGTGCTGCAATCAGCATTGACTACTTTCCCAACAGCTAGTCTCTCAATTATGATGAACATGCCTATCTGTGAGGAAACTAATGTAACCCTGATATGCACGAATATTGGCTTTCATCGGCCGAAAGAAGTAGCATAGCTTATCTGAATGATCAGCTCACAGAATATTTCGTAATGCAAGTCAAGGACCTCTGCACTACTAGTATTCCCCGATGTTTCGCTGCCTTAAGTATGAGGGAGTATTAGACAAACCATCTGCCAGTGCAGACTGCTTAAACCATTATCCGTGGACCCGCAACCATTCAGGGTCAGGGACTCTCCACCCCCCCTTCAAATCGGGGCCACAAAGGATCTTATCTGAATATGGTGGTAATTCTCTCATCGATTAAAGCAATTTTCGTTTGGCTTGGAAAACACGAACTTACTCATGTGCGTCTAGGTCCTGCTTTTGATCGACCTGATAACATAGCAGACAGTGTTATGCTGCGCGGGACAAAGCTCAATCGAACGATGCAGTTAGGGGATGAAATGAAATCTCTTATTGGCATGGCTTCAGCCTGTTATCTGGACATTATCCATGATTGACAAATTTCACTTTATACACCTTGTCCATTATAGCTAATTAATCTGCATATTATAAGTCTGATGGTATGGACGATGTACAGTTGGCACCCTTGATGATTCGCATGGCGTTTAGGTGTGACTATGCGTAATGCAATCCGACATTATATATATATATATCTATTGAATCATCCAAACCAGTGTCCAAGAAACCAACACATCTATAATCATCATCTGATCGTTGTCAAGATTGCTCTAGCATATGAGTATTTAAGTCTCCTCTACATCTGTCGGGAATATTTTCGAGGTTACAAGACACTTAGCACGTTGACGAAGGCACTTTTATTCATAGGGCATGTCCATGACTATTGCAGCAGTGCAAAGAATTATCTTCTGGTTTATATAGCAAGAGAGAAAGGCTAACTTCAACAAGGCCTGCTGGCCCAATGGTAAGGCGCTTGACTACGGATCAAGAGATTGCAGGTTCGAATCCTGCGTAGGTCATTTCTTTTTGTCTTTTTTTATCCCGCTCCCCATTACGAGCTGTTGATGTATGTATGTGACCTTAAATGTAGATTTTACTGCGCCTTCCTTTGTTTGCATGGTTGCGCTTCTCCCATTTATACCCGTCGCATATTATATTTTGACACCCCACTCGAAACCATCAGTGGCACTATCCGGGTGCCAAACTATATTACAATTGTTCTTATGCGCGAACCTACGCATCAAGATGTCACATCAGCGAAACGGTCATCATTAGATTAGCATTAAGTGGAGTCGGTCACTATAAGTATACAAATACAAACAATCCAGTCATAATCATACATACACCAAACTACACCACTCCGCGCATAATCCCCGGCTGAATCACCTCCAAAATATCGCTCAACTCGTCCCACACCCTTTTCTGCGTCCTCTTCCCCTCCTCACTCGTCACAAACGACGATAATTCCCGCGGACACACCACTCCATTCGACATATATTGTCCATGACTTTCCCTCCCCGCCGCCGCAGCCGCCACCAACGTCCTGCTCCCCACTTCCAACGTCCTCCCCAACAACCGCAATACAATCCTAACGACCACATTATCCATCTCCCTGGATAACTGCGACCGACAAAGTCCCGGATTCAGGCAATTCACCACGATATCATCATCCCCGATACGATCCGCCAACTCCCTCGTCAACAACACATCCAATAACTTCGACGTGCGGTACCGCTCTGCCATCGTCCCATAGTACCGATCCGGCTCATCCAGCGCCTCAAACACACTCACCCCTTTCTCCGTGGGCGCATTCCTCTCAGGAAACTTGGTGAATGCATGGACCTCGCTCGCCACTACCGACAACACAGGAGTGTGTCCTTCTTCTCCCTTCTGTTGACATAGCCTCCTCGTCTCCCTCAACTTCGGCACTAGTAGCATCGCTAACAGAAACGTCGAAATCACGTTGACCGTGATAGTGCGCTCATGGCCCTCTGCCTTGGAGTACTGAAACGTTGCGAGACCCGCGTTGCAGAGAAGGACATCAAGACGGTCGAGTGTAGTGATTGCGCGGGTAGCGAAGGCGCGGACGGAGTCGTAGGAGGCCAGATCTAGGGGCCAGACCTCGATGGTTTGAGGGTCACAGTTGGGATGGGCATCGAGGATCTCTGCACGGGCAGATTCACCAGCGGAGAGGTTGCGGACGGCGAGGATGAGTTTGCCTATGGGGCCGGAGGCGATGTGATGGGCTGCTGCTAGGCCGAGACCGGTGTTGGCGCCTGTTATGATGACGGTGCGGTTGTGGAAGGGCAAGGGAGGAGTGGGGAGAGAGGGGATGACGAAGAGTTGATTGTAGAGAATCGTCGCCATTTTGATTGTTATATCGGTGTGATGATTGTTGATGAGTTATTGGGGCAGAGGTAGATGGTATATAAAGGTGGTATCGTGGTGATATTATGGAATAATGGAAGACGCGAGCAACATGTAGATCATTACCAGCAACGGATATATCGGTCTTTGGGTAATAGAGTGCGCGATAAAGTGCGGTGATAAGCCGGGTTTAAGGTCCCAGCAGGTCTTTACACACGTGGTGATGTCAAGAGTGGGGCGGGTTTGCTCAGAATCAAGGACAATCTTTGTGAACAGATATTAGATTGATAAGTTTGAAAAGAAAGATCCTTCTAGCCTCGTTTGATACGATATCAGATGATCCTGCACCAGGCACCCGTTTTCTTACAACCGTCACGGGCCACCATGACTCACCTGCATAGACACGCGGCAGCTGTATGGCTAGTCATAATACAAATGTAGCTCGTAAATGACATCAATGAGCTATTGAGCCTCAGACTAGACCCTTTCGGTGCCAGTTCAATAGCTCATTCTCTTCTGACGTATCCAACTTGTCACCTATGGTTATCTCGGCAAATCATTTTAATGACATTGAATACCCCAGATAAGATCAATGCACAGTTTACAAGTTGTAGAGGAGTTTGAATATACCCAAGGACATCACAAGCAACTTATATGGTCTCCGTTGTTGTTGTTTTAAGACAATTAATGTATGCTTCGGGGTCAACTACCCCGTTGCGGTCGGAGTTGATGCGATCGGTTAGCCGAGGACGTTAACCGGCGGGGCAGAGAACACCGAGCTATTAAGCGGACAACCGAATTCTATTAAAATGAACTTCAACCTTCTTTCATACTTAATTCAACTGAAGTCTACCTCGAACATATCCTAGTAAAGGTACGTATGCTTGCTGTAGCCTGAAGCACCCCAAGAGGAACCATATTCTAACACCACGCCCAGGATCATCTCCAATATGCCCTTCGAAACCGCCATTACCTCCACCCTCCGGGGCTCTTCCACGGCCCTTGGATTCTGGCTCACGTATGTTCATCTACAACCAATACCTTTAGCACTTCGTACCAAGATGAACTAACCTCAATTCGATGAATGCAGCCTCCCCAGTGCAGCAGTCGCAAAAACCATTCTGCACGGCCAGCCTCCTAGCCCAGGCCGTTTCAGCTGGGTCCTAGTAGACGCCGAGCACGGATTAATCTCCGACCGCCATTACTATGAGGTTAGTGCATTTGCCATTTATCCAATGTAGTGCTTCGAATAACCGATAATAGCTTTTCAATGCCATTGGCTCCGAAGACGTAAGCCCGATTGTCCGGGTTCCCTGCGCAGAGGAATGGATGATCAAACGAGCACTGGACGCCGGTGCCCACGGAGTCATGACCCCCATGTGCCATTCAGAAGTGCGTACCCCAATCCCTATATCTCTTGTAGATCATTGGAAAGGACTAAATCTGATAATTGGAATAGGTTGAAGCCGCCAAAATCGTCCAATGGACCAAATACCCACCCCTCGGCACACGAGGCTACGGCCCGATGTTCGCGCCACACGCATTCCCCGGCGTCGCGCCCGGTGCAGAGTACGACGAGGGCTCGCAAACAGGCACGATTGTGGTTGTGCAGATTGAGTCGAAGGCTGGTGTTGAGAATGTAGAGAAGATCGCTGCTGTGGAAGGCATCGATGTCCTGTTCATTGGACCCTTCGATTTGGCGAAGCAGATGGGTGTTACGAGGGGCGGGGAGGAGCATGAAGCGGCTATTCAGCGGATTTTGAAGGCTGCGCATGCGGCAGGGAAGAAGGCCGCTATCTTTTGTACAGATGGCAAGGATTCCCGCGTGCGCGCGGAACAGGGATTTGATATGATTTCGGTGATCACGGATGTGGGGGTTTTCAGGGCGGGGATGTTGAGTGAGTTGAGGACTGTTACGGAGGGGCGGTAATTTGGGATCTGGTAATGATAGAGATATAAATGTTTGACTACCAGGTTGAAGTAGAGATAGCTAATCATTTCATTATGGCTCTTGTATGTGATTGCTATCTTATCACTATGTTAGAGTTCGGGTTGGGTGGTAGCTGTAGTTGAGGTCTTGGGCACATGGGAATTTACCACACGTAAGTGTCCTCTGGCATGTGCATTCCATCGTTGATGGATGCGCTCTTTTGGCTAGGATTAGCATTCTGTTTGTGTCTACATTTGAAGCCGGAATACATACCATCGCTCTACCACCATCAACCAAGAGGTAGCCTCCGGTCATGTAGCCCCCGGCTTTGGAACTTAGCATCAGACACGGTCCGACAATCTCTTCGGGATATCCAGGGCGCCCTGTTTTATTAGAGCTGCATCCCGCAAGGTGTTGGGAAAGTCACGTACCAGCAGGAGCCCGCTTAGCAGCACCTTCTGAGACGGGATTGAGGTTTTCCGCGTTGCCAGTGGTATCAGCGAACGTCATCTCGCTGGGGAAAATTCCGGGGCAGATGCAGTTAACGCGGACTTTCATACTAATGTCGTTGTTAGGAAGAGCACTTCGGAATTAAAACCATCATATTTCCAAGTCTGTTGCAGCAATGGATAAGCAGAAAATAGACACATACGGAGAAAATCTACCAGCCAGGAGCTTCGATACGTGGAGAGCTTTGAGACAGAATTAGCTAGCGTAGAAGGAACTAATGACCGGCATTTTAGCGTACCTGCAGCCTAAAATGATTGTTAGCAATTTGACCCCGATGTACTGTTAGTCATGGAGGCACTTACTTTCGAAGCACCATAAGTCACCGTTCCCACGGTCCTATTTATATCTTAGTTTCCAGCACTAGCTTTTCATAGGACACGTCAACAGCGTAACTCACCTCTGGTTGGCAATCCCGGCCAAGGAAGCAATCACAATCACGCTGGGGTCCGAAGACTTTCGCAGCAGCGGGAGGAATCCCACAGTGGTGAAATAGACACCACTGATATTGACTGTCCACATCACCCATTAGCTATTTCCTGATATCCTGTAGGCAGAACTACATACCATTATTGGTTGTGGTAAATGATTCGCTTGATTTTATCAGCATTGCACCTCATCGAAGTGAAGAATGCGGGAACTTACTCATCGACACTTTCCCACAGCCCTTTTTCAACAGCGTCGGCTATTCACCTATGAGCAAACGATGCAGCCATCAAACACACGAGACAGGTAGCCTTACGATCGTTGGGATTCCAAGGAGGATAGTCCGTCTTCCCAGGCAGACCAGCATTACTAATTAGCACATCAACCTGTGAGACACTAGTTAGCATACCCCTTTACCCTTATAAAATTCATCATCCGCATACATGATCTTCCTTCTGCTTGATCTGTTCAATAAGTTGGGCACAGCCGTCTTTTGTGCTCACATCGCCCTTGATGCTATATGTATGTGACGTCAGTTTCATCCAGTATCAATGGTGATCGAAGACCAGGGAAACGACTAACGGTATCACTTGTCCACCAAGTGTCGCTCTTTCCCGCAGTTCCTCTGCAGCCTTCTCAAGGACTTCAACACGACGTCCCGTGATGTAGACTTTGGCACCATTGGTAGAAAAGCCCTCCGCGATCGCTGCAATAGACTCAAAGTTAGATCATAGGCTCCGGAATTTATGATCCTAGCTTGCCTTTGCCGAGTCCGGTGCCTCCGCCGGTGATTACGACGATCTATGTCTCCATTAGACAAGGATACTAACGTGGATGGTTTATACGTACCTTGTCCTTAACGCCGAACAGGTTGGAAAGCTGGAGAGACATGGTTTCGCGGATGTATCGGATAGCTGTGGAGAAATTTGAGTAGCCCCAAAAGAGTCTATTGTGTTTACCTGATTTTAATTATGACCACGATAGATGGACAAAAGGTAATTGTTGAACCTTCCAGACAAGTGACGACGAGGGCGTGGTGAGCCGCGGGGTAGATAAGCGCCGGAGTTCAGCCGAAGCGTGCTCCAGCCAGTCATGGACGAGGTAGATTTTAGAAGTGACACTTAAAAGTAGCACCGCAATCTTGAGTGAGCTCTAATTAAACAAACACTAATAGATCCAGTAGCAGATAATTTCACGATGGTTTACTCTGGTGATAGTCCCCACATAGAGAATGAGCCTCCGCTGTACGTGATTTTGGAAAGAGAATCAAGTCATAAGTTCGTAATTTTTCATACGTCGTAATGAATATCTACAAGACCATGAAAGAGACCGTAGCCAGGACAATAAGAAAGACTAAACCCTGCCTATCAGTCCCACCCATCATCGACAAACTGGCCGCCGACTCAGCAGTATGATTGGCAGACCCATTGACAGCAGTGGGTTCGTCGCCCAGCCCCAATGGCAAACCCTGATAACTAAACGTTAGATTCTGCGGAATGGATGTGTTATAGCACTGGCCATTCGCAATGTCTAGATTCGTCAAGTCATCAGGATGCAAGAAGAACATGTAGTTCGACTGATTAAGCTTTTCAAACCCAGACGTATCGTATGGGAATTTGTCACCGGAGTCAGTGGCGCTCGTGTTCCGAAGAAAGATACATTGCACTTGGCCTGGAAAGTCGGTCGCCATTTCCGGGTAGTCACGCATGACGTCGCTGTTGCTGGTGTCGGCGATGAGGATAAACTTGCGCTGCGGAAATGTCTCAAACACCTTTTTCAGCAGGAATTTGCGGATGGACAGGGTGGCGGAGACGTCGCTAAAGTTGAGGGGACGGGTGTCGAAAGACCCGCCGGGGTAGTTGTCATAGATGAATTGCATGTAGTTTCGGGTGACTTGTTCGGGAGTCGTCGTCTGTAGTGGGGTGGTGAGTACGCAGGAACAATACAATAAGGGACATTTGGTAGACTGACTAGGTAGTGAAAGTGCAGGTTGGGGAGACTGATAGACCAATTGCGATAGATGTCCGGCATATTCTCCCATGGCCGGAAGGGACGTGCGAACGAGTTGAGTAATCCTTGCTCGGGCTCATAGATTTTGGTGACCCGTAGGATGTCATCGATGTCCGAAACGACAGTGAGCCCGGTCGGAGGCACAAGATAGGCGGTGCTGTTTCCAATCGTTGCGCCCTCCACATGAACGTTAAGCCGTTGTATCGCCGAAGTTTCGTTACCTGCCGTCAAGCCGTTACTGGAGATTGGCACGAAGGTGTCAAAGTCACCTTCAACCGTGGTGTTGTAGGGCAGAGTGAGGTCTTGGGTGCCGCCAGTGGTATTAGAGGATCCACCGCCGCCTGGCTGTCCGCTGGATCCCTGACTCGGGGCAGGCTCTAAGTGGATCGTGTTTACAGCGACGTCAGGTTGCTGGACGACTAATATTTCGGCTGTTAGATTCCGAGCCTGTTTCTGCTCGGATTCAGAAAGGTCGGATATGCTTGTATTGCCGAGGAATACATCAGCCAAATCATTTAGATCGGAGACGGAGGTGTTGGGCTGCTTGTAGACATTTCCGTGAAAGCGAACGTTCCAGCCCGAGTTGGTCCAGTTGGCATATGGGTCGATATTCAATACATTGGTGGGCAAGGCTGCCAACTCAGCGCTGTTCAAGCCCAAGGAGCTCACCACTGCATCTCCAGTGGGGAAACCCTGGAAGTAGTTGGGCACGCCCGATGCGACCCAGGAGGGTAGGTCGGATCCCAGGCCAGAAAGGATGCTATTTATATCAGAATCGACGTCACTCAAGATATCTCGACCAGCAACTCGAGAAGCGCGATGCTGAACCGGCGAAGGTGTGATGACGGGCTCGGGCGGAGCGACATTGTTGACGAACGCTGTGGGCGCCGGGATCGCGGAGACAACTGAAAGAAGAGCTGCCTGGAGCAGGGCCTGACAGGCAAAGCTTGACCTGCTCATTTTTGATTCTCAAAGTAGTGGGGATAGACCTTTTGGCGCAGGAATAGGAGTAACATGGCTGTCTGTATTGTTATATAACAAGTAGAACATCCACCGACGTCATAGCCGTGCAGATCACTGGAAGTCCAGGGCCACACAAGCGATTCATCCATTGGGTCTGGACGGCAAGACCCTGACCCGCAGTTAATTAACATGTTCCAGCGACAAACCAAATTTCTGGATCAGGGACAGATCAGGAACAGATCAGGGTCTTCATGCGTCATGGCTCCGGAGACGTGTCCACCACATGGGGCAATGCCGGTGCTCACCCCCGTTGCGTCATACTCAGATGGTACGCGATTCCCAATATTCCACTGCTGTTCCATAGAAATTGCCGTTATTTAATGGAGAACTACCATCATATCGTGAATTTCATACTGGCAAGGTAGAATTAGCCACCTCCGTCGCACTAACATTATATAGGTAGCTTGAAATCGCATTCCTCGTCTTGAGTCAGGTTGGTCCGAAAGGCCCTTAATCACAGTACCTTGTAGCAGGTGATAATCTGCGTGATCTTCAAAACATTCGAGTCCTTCCCAAGAATAAAATACAAAGTACTAAACATGTCAAGCCGGTTCGGATGCAGATCCGATGGATGGTTTGTCGCTCCAGTATCCACATCGCTCTTTACCATGGCGATCGAAAGCCGGAGTCCAGCATGGGAGAAAAATTAAACGGAGAGAAGGACGAGAAAGAGAAATTTACCCAAATAGAAATATTAGAATAAAGAATAAGAAATTTATTATAACTTTATCAAAATAGAATTCTGCTGGCTTCTATAAGGGTATGTGGTCGAGAAGGATGCTATCTTTGTGAACGGTCTGAAATTCTCTCCCCGTTGGCAGCATAACAGTGGCATTAACTTAAGCGACAGGTCGGCAATAAATCATCCTCCGCAACCCTCCATAGGAACCTACCAGTCGCATACTCTGCCCTCGCTCGATTGTTGCCTAATAGATAGATTGTGTCGCATTTGAGTGATTTGCACTAACGATACTTTGTATGCTTATCTCCCAAGTCCAGGTAACCACGTTCTAGCGTCGAGCTGAGGCTGTGTCGGTTGCCGGCGGTGCCCCGATCTGCATGCATGTCAGCGTGTCGTGGCTGACGCTAACCCGCTCACTTCATCCAGTACTTATATCGACGGCTATCTCATCTTACCATCAATTTTATCTTGTTCAACTCACCCTTCTTCTGCGACACCAATACAATATGCCTTCTGCGGTGCAAGCCGTGGACTTCTCCTGGAGTAGCGTACTGATCTCCTTCACCCCATAGATTCTTCACGTTCTAACCCGCTCCACCAGACTACGCCAGGCCCAGCCCTGAATTTCGTCCCCTGCTACCAGGACTATCTGTGTGCACGTCTTGAAGTTCCCCTAGACTGGTCAGCCAGTGCCACTGAAAATACAACGGCCACCTTGGCCGTCATAAAACTGCCTGCACAGGTAGACCCTGCCGACGAGCGTTACAGTGGCTCTATAATCGTGAACCCAGGTACGGGCAACAATGTCATTACCGCTACCATTCTGACCCCCACCACGGTCGCTTACTAGACATACAGGTGGTCCTGGCGGGTCCGGCGTGCAGGAAATACTTGACCGAGGGAAAGAGATCCAGCGGACCGTAGACAGCTCCGATGATGCACAGCACTCTCGCTATTTCGACATTGTCTCCTTTGATCCCCGTGGCGTGGGAAATACCCTCCCCCCCTTGACGTGCTTTCCTGATCTGCTGTCTACTTACCTCTGGACCGAGGCCGTGCAAGCCCATGGCTTGGTAGGTAGCTCCGATCATGCAGCTGATCATCTCTGGGCCCGCATGCAAGCCCTAGCCACATCGTGTACGGAACCCCATAAAAATGGTGCGGATATTGGTCCGTATATGAATACCTGGAGTACGGCACACGATCTGCATCATATTGCTCAACTCCTCCAGCCGGATCCTCACGCAGACACAAAGCTGCAATACTGGGGTTACTCGTACGGGACTCTGCTAGGTGTCACTTATGCAACTCTCTTTCCGAACCAAGTCCACCGGATGGTGTTGGATGGGGTAGTAGATGCAATAAGCTGGTACTCTGGTGAAATGTCAACATCTTTCCGGGATGCGGATCATATACTAGAAAGTTTCTTCCGCTACTGTCATCAGGCAGGCCAGCCGAGATGTGCTTTTGCTAGCCCATCCGCCAACGGAGAAGACCATGAAAAAGCAATAAGCGACCTCGAACAGCGTTTCAAGAATATACTGTCTGATCTGAAAGCGTCCCCCGTTTGGACCACTCATCCAAACCCAGACATAATCACCTATTCTGACGTGAGACGTCTCCTAAAACTCGCGTTGTACGCACCGGTCGACCTTTTCCCCACTCTCGCTACCATCCTAGCAGATCTCGAACAACGAAACGCAACGAGCATGGCGGGCTGGAAAGCCATGCTACGCGAGGAAATGCAGCCAACTCACTGCCTCGATCCAGAATGTCAGTCTCATGCTCCGTGCCGTGAAGCATGCCAATACTCGTTCCGCGTAGAAGTGACTGCCGGTACCGTATGTTTGGACTTGAACCAGAAGCTACTGAATACCACCCGCGAAGAATATTGGGATAAGTATCTTCGGCCTTCCATTGAGAGCAGCCATTGGATGGGAGATACGTTTGCAGACTTTTTGATGCCGTGTGCTAGGTGGAACGGTCGGGGACCGGGGGATTTCAAAGGTTCGTTCTAGTCTCGTTGCTCGTAGGTGCTGCCTAAGTACTAACCCGAAGAAGGACCTACCGGGGCTCAGAATACGTCCACACCTATACTCTTCGTCAGCAATACTTTGGATCCAGTGACTCCGCTCGGCGAGTGAGTTTCGCCACCCTGTTATCTGTCTATGTACTTTCATCTACGGCCCGTTAACGATAGTATCAGCGCCCACGCCATGTCCGCTCTGTTCAAGCAGTCTGCCGTATTAGAACAGCATGCTGAAGGTGTAAGTACAACTTCTCTACCTAAGCTTTCAGAGACGTGTGTTCTAACCGGACGTCATTGTAGCATTGCTCCTTCGCTTCGCGTTCGGTGTGTACAGACAATTACATCCGCACGTATTTTCAAACCGGGGAGCTTCCCGCACCAGGCACGCGTTGTGAGACAGATATACGCCCTTTTGGGGTGGAGGAAGAGTCAGATGGTATCTCCCCAACGGAGCTGGAGAGGACGGAGCTATGATCTATCTACTTTGATATATTGGTATCCGGAGTTTCCCTGTCAATACTAATTATTAAGCAAGTAATTTCACCAAAAACATTGATATTGGGTCTATGAGAGAGTGCATTGTTTCTAGCTCTTGTGATGAGCTGATATAGTGCATATGTATCTTCTGTCAGAATAATGGATTGTGAACGAATACCTTTATACTGTGATCATGCGTAAGCGAGGTCACGTGTAAAATATCGGTCGCGCCCCAGCACATCGCAGTCTCTTTCTGCTGCTCAGCGCTGCTGAATATCACATTGACTGCTGAAGCTATCCAGCACTCTCTCTATAACCAATTGACACACCGAAGAGAACACTGGCCCCCGGTATTCAACAGGTGCCAGATAAGTGGTCGGTCACCGGACGCGTCCCGCTAAGTTCAACACAGTGTCCAATCACAATTAATCATTCTCAAAACATAAAACATCTCTCAATGGTATACTAGTCCGTCGACATGGCTCCGGGAGCATACCTTTCGTTGCGCCATATACCGGAACTCGTAAAATCTGTCTTCTCACAACCTGCCACCCAAGCGGATCGCATTCCAACGACCTTGTCGGGACCGCTTCCAGCGGTATCGCAGCGCTTGAGAGGCCGGCTCGATTTGCGGATATGGGACTGGGAAATTCAGCATACGCTCAAGTGCTGTGGCATGGAGCATCTTCTTCGAAGCGATCTACCTCGCCCCGACAAAACTCATGCCAAATTTGCACTCTGGCGCCATTGGTCAATCACTGTCCGAAGATAGATGAACCGCCAGCTCTCTCGCAAAATGAGAGCGAAGTTGGGGGCCTCTCGCTGTGCTAAAAAATACGCGGATGATGTCTACCATGTCATACGAGATCTTGGCTCGCACTATGACCACGCCCTATCCATGGCCACATGGTTTAAGCTCATTGATATGCGGCGGTCTCACTACACTACTGTGGCGCAATACGTTTCCAGTTTTCAGCGAGCATATATTGACGCGAACGAGTTGAATTGCGGTATTAGTCCCTACACCGCGCTGATTGCGATTCTTGGTGGACTCAAGTCAGATCTTCCGTATTGGGTCGCCGCGATGTGGACTTTGTCGCCTGAAGATGCGGTGACCGATTATACTGACGCTGATTTGTTCAAAGCCTGTCGCATGGCAATAGAGCAAGATGATATGTTCAACCAAAGGAATTGCAAGGTTGCGAGAGGCGGGTGATTTCTTCCACTTGTGCCTTTCGAAAGAATAATAACCCAAGATGAAAGAAAGAGAAATTGCAGAGAAATAACGGTCGATATCTGACCTGTACGGTGGTTGGGAAATCATCAAATTCCGGATCCTCAACATCGAATGAGTCAATGTCAGTACCCTTGCAATGGTCAATGCACCACAGCGACGAGCTAGCACATTAGGGACTGGGCGTGCTTTAATATCCCCTTTCCTACGCTCAGATATCTGATCTTATCTCTATCTTTCGAACCAATCCTCACCCCACGAAAATGTTCAAGGTGGAAACCAAGCACATACTCCACAATGATCAACAATCAAGTTTTCCGTTGTTTCCGCCATTTGAATATGAAGATCAAATAGGTCGCCAACACGGCCATCGTGTAATTGAAAAGAATGAATCCGATGAAGATTCCGACGTTGTTACTACGTTGTGAATAGCTCATGGCATATTGCTTGACCTATATTTCCAAGAGGGCGTGTCAGCAATTCTTTTGTGGAAGGAAGAAAATGAACTATAATGGAGGGGACAAAAACTGACATATTGATCTCCATCTGCATAGGCACAGTAATGGCACTCCTCAGTCGCGCCAGGATTTACTAGGTAACCTGTAGAATCCCCTGAAGCGAAGAAGTCAGCTGCATATGAGGCGCATGTCTCCCCGACGGGCATATGGAATGTAGTCAGTTCGGTGTCACGGCAGGTAATCTGCAGCGAATGCATGGCGTTGGTACCAATCCCCTCAATGAAATAGAACAACGGGGAGATATTATAGAACCAGCGCCATCCGCGAGGTGTCAAAGGTGGGGGTGAGAGAGGTCCATTGAAGGTATTTATCACCAGCCAGACGAAGCCAGTGGCCACCTGCGCGGCCAGCACGGTGGGAAATAATGCGGCCGTTAATTGAGCGATACTCGCGACGAACAATGAGTAGAGCTCGTACATGAGAAAGGCATAACCCGCGCGAGTTGAGATGGTGAAGTATCCGACCATGTAGTACCACAGAACCCAGTATACAAGTCCTCCCAAGAGCGTGAAAGGGATCTCCACGAGAAGCGCGCTGATAGTAAAGACGCTCCAATGGTATACATGTGACTCATTCTCTCGTGCCATGAATTGATCGCGTAGGAGGATGAAGCGAGGTTCGATCTGGAGGCTGAGCACGGGTCCGGTGATCACTCCGACGAAGATAGAAAACATGCGTCCGCGGGAGTCAGTGAGATCGTTGGACAGCTGGAGAAATGTGAGCCCGTTCATCAGCCCCATCCAGATGTTGAGTTGGATCTTGCCCAACACGTAATCTGAGTCGCGCCAGTAGTTCGTGAAAGCCCGTTGGGTGACCACTCGCATCTGCTCGAGATAGGAGGCCGCATATGCTCGATCAGGACCTGGCGACATTAAAGTATTTCCTTCCCGTGGTTGAAGGAAGTGTTGAAGCTGCTTCTGAGTGGAGACATACTCGGGCGACTGCTGCCAAGTCTATCATGTTCGGGAAATGAGAAATGAACTGCGTAAGAGAAGGGTAATTTGTTGAGGTGGGGATGAGAAATCATACCTTGGACCAGTCTACGTCGGGCTCCCCGCTCACTTCGAGAATGTAGTCCGCTGGATTTTCCGTTTCCCGGCAGCATCGCGTATACCGAGAGAAGTAATTGATTATAGTCTGGCACTGAGACCCTAACGGACCGAAATAGATGGTTTTACCACCTGGAACCAGCAGAAGCAAATTATCAAACTGTTCGATCATCTGCGCAGAGGGTTGATGAATCGTGCAGAGAATGGTTTGCCCGGCATCGGATAGCCTGCGCATCAGTTGCACGATGGAGAGTGCTGAATTGCCATCCAACCCGGACGTGGGTTCATCAAGGAAAAGAACAATGTCTGGCTTTGCAGCTAACTCAACCCCAATACTGACCCGCTTGCGCTGTTCGAGGTTCAATCCTGCCCCTGGTACCCCAATGATTGCTTCGGCGATATCTTCTATTTCCAGAAGCCGGATGAGAAACTCCACGTGATGCATCTTCTCCTCCCAGGGGACCGCTTCTGAGCGGCGCAGGCATGCGCTCAGCTGGAGTGCTTCGCGCACTGTGGACGATGCTAGATGGATATCATTCTGGTGAACGAATCCTGTACGTCGGCCCATCGACACCGGAAGTGTCTGCCCATTCAGATAGAGACCACCAGATATGCGGCCAATCTGGATACGCTGAGCTAGGGTATCAAGAAGCGTAGTCTACTCGTACAGGAGGTCTGTCAGGCTTGGGGTCTATTTCAGCGACCGATATCATAGAATCGGCTCGACTTACCTTGCCAGCCCCCGACATTCCCATCAATGCAGTCATCTTTCCTGGTTGAAGCCATCCTGTACCATAGAGCCTTGTAAGACTTATCCTTTATAAAGGACAGAGAACTAGGTCTTACCTGAAACTTGGTGAAGCAAGTTCCTTCCATCGTCAAGTTCAAGTGACAGTTCATGCCAAGCAAACACATTTTGTGTGTTGTCCAGACCGCCGATAGTAGGGATCTCACCGTTGGAGATGGGTCTGAGTTCTTTGGAGTCAGTGACATACGGTGGCTTCTCAATGTCTGTACGACGGGTGGGTGAGGCGTTCGCCCACGATGGCAGCTTGCGGTAAAACACCGTTGCCATTTGCTCAGATGCATGACGAAATCGCTCCATCCCAATTCTAAACAATAAGTAGTCAGTTTATGGCCGAGGATGGATATTCTCGGGAAAGGAAACTTACGTTACCACAATTGAAAAGAAGACGAAAAAGGCCGCATTTATTGCAACATTTCGCCATAAGTGGAAGTAGTTGAATCCATACTCAACCATCAGATAGAGTCTCCCAAAAAGGTTCAATTGGCCTGCTACGGACCCAGACACTGCACAGGCCTGAAAACTTGTATCATTGTATGATGCTCCCTGAGGGACGATGTTCTGCAGGCTGCATGCATATAAATTGCTCCCAATCTCGTTGAGGGCGAGGGACTCAAAAATATAGTACATGGGCTATACAAGTATTGAGGAGGTTAGCACATTCTGTATGGAAGTCTTACGATGACCTTCTGTTTCAACTTACGTCAAGGTAGCGGATCCATGATAGCCAGACCTTCATTCCTGGAGGTGTGATATAAAAGCCCGTGTAGATGATCAGCACATTCAGTAGAAGCCCAACGGGGAGAATGGCCCGAGTGATGGAATTTGTGAAGACAGCTATGGCCCGAAACATAACACTCAGTGCCATTAGGCCCATGTAGAGGCACACCAGCCATGTGAAAAAGTTCCCCGCTGTACGTTGGAAGCCAATCATCCAGTAGATGGGAAGCGAGTATAAGATGAAGATAAACTTCCAAGGTACGTCGGCGAGGATCTGACCGAGCGCGTAGGCCGCGGGTCGGTAGAATCGCAACGCCTTCTGCTTGAGCAATATCGGGCGTTGGACAAAGGTATTCCCAAATTCGGCAGAAGCCTGCAACCCCATGATCAAAACGCAGAAAAAGAGGGCCGATGCGCGTGTATAAAGCCCTTCTGTCACGGCTCTCTGATTCCTAAAGAGAGTGCCTAGAAGCAGAGCTTGGATGATTGTCCCAGCCGCCTCAGCAACCCAGGCAGCCCGATCAGTCAAAAAAATCTGATAATGGCGTACTGTACACTCATATACCTGACGGTACAAGGGCAAAGCATATCCTGATGCTCTAGTATCTTTACTTGTTGCTGACCGAGGTGGCTCAACAGCCTCACGCACCGTCTGCTGGTAGAAGCTGCTTTCCCTGAACCGGGCCTCAAAATCAGCGGGTTGAACGGGAACCGGCCGCTGGGGGTTTTCCCGAGTTTGCCGACCTGCCGGAGGCCCCGACATGGATGCCAGAAAGTCGGAAACCGAGATCCTTGGAGAGCAATAAAATCCAAGGGATTCAAAGTAGGTTTTTGCTGATGACGCCGGGCCATAGTAGGCAACGTGGCCGTCATTCAGAACTAAGATCTTATCAAACATTGAAACTGCAACATCACTAGCTTGATATAAAGACATGGCGGTCATGCATCGACTGCGGGTGGTGTATTTGCGCATGGTAGTGAGAAAGCGGATGGCAGTTGATGAGTCCAACCCCCGAGTAGGATTGTCAAAGCAGAACAAACTAAGGGGCATGATCAGCTTCTTTGGTCTGTTGTGAGAAGTACTGGTTGAGTAATCTACCTTGCACGCGTGCAGAGAGCCTCAGCGAGAGAGACACGACGACGCTGGCCGCCGCTGACTCCACGAAGATGGTCGGTTCCGATTCGGACTTGAGCTGCATGAGCAAGACCCATCAGCTGCAGAAGACTTTGTAGGTCCTCTTCAATTCTGGAGGCTCTATCCGGATCAGAGTTTGAATGCCGGGCATTGAGAGCAAATCTAAGCGTGGTGCTGACAGATAAAGTTGGAAAGTGGATGTCATCTTCCCCTGTTAACATGCATAGCCATCTTAGCCAGTGCTTGTTTCAATTGGGGTGTGGGAAACTCTCATACCAACGAAAGCTACCTGGTTAGGCCTATTTCGCCTTGCTGTCGAGGCATCCATTGAGCCATACCAGACGTCACCCTCCATTCTCAGATACTCGTCCCTCATGTTCGACAAGGCTTTCAGAACGGTGGTGCATCCACTGCCCGGGCGTCCCACAATCATCAACATTTCCCCTTCGCGGATTGTCCCAGTCAGACGCTGCAGAATGGGTCGAGATGGGATTTCCTTTCGCGAAAACCAGGTCACCGGGTTGGCGAGAGTTTTCAGACGTCGTAGAGTTTCGGGAACATCGGACATCCGTTGGCGCTGGTTTCAAGTCAGTGTTATGGAATCTTTTGTCACTATGTGTCGGAAACAAACCCCAACTCCTGCGCCTATGACTGACAATTCCTTGAAAATGATGCCACCCAAGCGCTCTGATTCACTGAGAGTCTGGCGATCAAGGAAATTGGCAACCAGTTGATCGATCTCTGCATCCTGATGTGTCTCTCGACTTCCATTGTACTCATTATCTCCGCAACCCAATGTCTCCATGATACATATATCAAGCTGGTAAGAAGCTTAGCTACGCTCTATAGTCTTCTCTTGGGCGCGATTTTGCTAAGACTTTAAAGGAGCTCCCACGAAGCCTTCAAGCACCGAAGCATAGGAGAAGGTGCCGGATTACCAAATGGGGTAATTATTGCTCCTTATGGTTAGACCAAGGGCCAGCTCCACTCAGCGGAGTTAGCCGACTACGGCGGTAACTGGTGGATAGCATTGGGAAGTAGAGATAAATAGCAGACACGAAGGCGTAGGAAAACGACAAAATGAAAACGTCTTATTTTTGTTACCCATTTAAAAATTGTTGAAATTGTTCTCGCAAGACCAATGTCGGACTCCCAGTTTGATCCCGATCAGTTCACTCGTGCGGGCTGTATAACGCGGAAATACTACCGCGATGTCTATCCCACCATCGATCCATCACAGCCAGAGCTATCCCAGAAAGATAGAGTAACCATCGTCACGGGCGCAGGAAAAGGAATTGGTCGAGTGAGAATAGGCCCGACCCCTTTACGGACGTAATCACGACTGACCTCCGTGATTACCCCAGGCTATTGCTCGAGCTCACGCCCAGTCCGGCGTCAAGGGGCTAGTTCTTGTGACTCAGTCTGCTCAGTCGGCTGAAGAGACGAAAGCAGTTTTGAAAGCCGAATTCCCCTCTGTTGATGTGCTGGCTCTGCCTACGGACATCACCAATGAGAAGGAAATAGCGCAGACCTTCGACACTATCAGGAACCACTTTGGAATCGCGCACACTTTGATCAACAACGCCGGTGTCTTTGCCTCGATAGCGCCCGTTGCACAATCAGACTCCAACACCTGGTGGAAGGACTTCGAGGTCAATGTACGGGGGACATACCTTGTCACCGCGGCATACCTGCGTCTGATCGCCGCCGAGAGCGCTGATTTTCAGCCCACTGTAGTCAACCTCATTTCCACGATTGGTCTGACGCCGCCTGGACTGAGCAGTTATTTTATCAGTAAACTGGCTGTGGCCAAGTTCACCGAGTTCGTCACAGCCGAGAACCCCCAGGTTGCCACCTACAGTCTCTCTCCGGGAATCGTACAAACCAGCATGACCCTGGATTCATTCAAGCCATTTGCTAAAGACACTGGTATGTTCACAAATATCACAACTGGCAATTCAGGAGCCATTAGGCTAACCATGGCAAATTCCCTTGGTCTGTAATAGCGGAACTCCCAGGTGCCGTGACCGTCTACTTGGCCGCGAAACGGCCACAATACCTTAATGGACGTCACCTATCCTCCAATTGGGATTTGGCAGAGCTTGAAGATAGGAAAACGGAGTTGTCCTCATCAGATACACTGAAAGTGGGTCAATTCATCTGATGGCCCTCACTACCACCTTCTGGTGGAGAGTTAATTTCACGCAACGCCGTTGCGTTCTCGTTGTCTATAAATGAAACTAGCAGTCCCTATCATTGGTGTATCCAGAAGTGATAGGCTATTATGTATCTTGTAGTAAGCATTCAAAACTCAGTTCTATCCGATATGCGCCCATGCATATGTAACGAGGACGATGGTGGTTGTAAGGTTCAAAAATTAGTTTCCAAATGTATCTCAGGCACGTCCATCAACATATCACTGATTTCGTGACAGTAACCAGACCAGGTGTTAGGGTCAACAGTATCTGCAAATGACCACAAAGCGTTCTCCTCGGATGCGAAAGGCAAAGGCTGCTGGTTCCCTGCTTCCGTTTGTTCGTCGGTCTGCACCCTCCGATAATCGTTGCGATCACTGAACGCTGATGATTGAGAACTCAACAACTCTATGAGGGCACTAACTCTCCCTAGTAGATACCGTGTCCGTTGAGCCGCTCGGGATGCAATTGGATTGTTTGTCCCCGCCCCCTCAAATATTGGAAGAGATCGCTCAACATGTTGCTGAGCAAGTGGGAACCAGTAGCATAGGGGGTAGGCCAGCATAAACCCCACAAGGGTGAGAACTGCATTCCACACGTACTGGTAGATTTCTGAGCATCCATAAAGAGCATCATGAAAAAGCATGCGAGTGTGTATGAGGTCGGTGACGGTTAGCGCATGTTGTAGTGCCGTGGTGGCGTGTATATCGGCTTGTGGACTCCGTTGCGGAACTAAGCTGCGACTTGAGAATTGGATAAAAGGTCGGTGAGCCCAGAGTACGATGTCATGGTATCGAAGCTCTAAAAGCGTTTTTTGTAAGGTGAGAACTGGGGCCTCATGAAACGACAGTGTTGCATTCTGATCATGTCTCAGCCGACTCATGGAAGAGGTAGCCTCGTCTGGTTGATAAACATTACATGAAAGTGTAATGTTGGTGTATAGGTTCGCGTCCAAGACTTGATCTCTCCATCGATACAGGCCCTTGATTTCCCGCGACAAAAGGTGCGCATGGCGCTCGATTTGATTATATGGATCAGTTGTCGACGAATCACGCACATGACGCTCCAGATCCTCGGCCATCTTCCTTGCCACAACAGTGAGCGATATCGATGCCGAATGGAATCCGAGCTCTGAGGTATCCGAAGAATCCCGCGGGTTTGGGAGTGGCGTGTTGAGTATCGCATCATCTAGAGAGATAGCCATAGGCTTTCCCAGAAGTCGTGAACAATGGAAGTCGAGGTGTACCAATGTCCACCAAACATGACGACGCGTCTCAACCTCATGTGCGGTCGCACGAGTTACCAGGGGGTGCTGTAAGTCCAGCGACTGTGCGAGTCGCATCGCCACGCCAATAATATTATATGCTGCTTGGTATTCTCCAGAGTTCTGGAGAAAAGCGGCCATAAAGAGATGCCGCTGCACGTCCAGTAAAGAAGGCTCTGCGTACAAGAGATAGTCGCTGTTCGTCCCTAGAGCCCTTTGGAAGAACGCAACATATAGGCTAGCTAGCGAAGGGGCTTGAGTGGAATGCTCTCCTCTGTGTAATAATGCTGAGTCTATTTGGATGCTTAGCAAGCGGCTCTGAAGCCCGGCACAATGAATTGATTGTAAGCAGTAGGCCATGAGCGCTTGCCGCAATGACTCAGAGTTTTGACCCGACGTGATCGTCAAGTCCTCGGGACTAATAATCGGCATTAGGGGATGATACCGAGTCCAGAAGACATCAAGCAGGGATTTTTCAAGTTTCTGTAAGCTGTCCAGCGTCAGATGTGCCACATCTGACTCGGTTGTTCTCAGCAAATCCGGCGAGGGATACTGAGCGTCTGAAGGACCCGGATCGATAGGTTGAGGGGATGGGCGTGCTGACATCTGCGATACCATAGAGCAGAAATGATTCATTCGAGAGATAAAGCCGGCAAATGAATCCAACTGCGGGCGCGGAGGAGCGACGACAGCATGGTGGGTGGATAGACTCCGTTGTGAACTGGATCTTGGCCTACCTTGTTGGTTGGGGCCTTCTTGGATCGGGGTAGATGGCGGCGCAGACTGAGCTGGCGGGGGACTGCGTAGAGCAGCCGGATGCAGTTTCCGGCTGCCAGAAGGTAGTCTTGAGTGCTGGGTTGGTTTGTTGCATTGGATCTTGTTGGCACGACACTGGCCACAGGGTAATCCACCATCGCAGCGAACCCGGTGCTGACGGCAAAACTCGCATGCTCGGCGCACTTTCTTCCGTTTGACCAGTGGTGTTGATCGTAAAGAAACAACGTTATACAGCATTCCGGCGTGAGTGATAGATAAAAGTGATTAGGGTGGAGTAGTAGAGAGTAGTGTAGATGAAGTTCGGAGAATCCAGGATCACTACTATTACTTACTCTACTCACCTTCCTACTATAGTGCTAGTAGTACGGAGACTAAGTGAAACCTCAATCACCTGACTCCACCGTCCCGGAAAATCAGACCAATAGGATGCCGAGGAAGGGACAGCCAATCAGACTAGCTGGAGTAACCTGACAGTGTGTGGACCCGACGGAGTTACGAGCATGTCCATGATTTATCCATCCCGAGTATCTTAGTGATAGGCTGTCTGGGCATCCTAGCTTCCCGTAGTTTGATTGTTATACCCACAAGACGAGGTCTTTCGGTAGTGTATAAAGTCCCGATCTACCGAGAATCTTTAGATGCCACGAGTCCGTCCGAACCATAGCCGTGGCTCTATGTCCTGGTCAATGGCGATTATAAGGAAAACATTTAGACTGCGGTAACAGTTTTATCTTTAGTATCCGAGTATAAGTCGACCCCAATCCCTTCTAGTTCTTTCTGTTCTCTGATCACATCGATATGAGGTCTGGTCTTGGGACTTGCCGTCTTCAAGTACAAAGAGGCCCTTTCGCGCGACATCACGTGAAGCATCCTCCTAGAAGCTTGCTGCGCCTGGATACTATCGTGATATGGGCTAATGCATGCCTGATGCACCATATAGCTGGCACGTCCCAGGCCAGGAGATAATAATAGTTGGGCTTGGGGATTGAATAGCAACTGAAAAGAGCGACAGGGCCTTCGGTATCATGGCTAGCAAAGCCTACTTGTTGAGTTTGTGCTAATATTTGATGGATATCACTTAGGAAATAAGAGCAGTGCTACTATTACAACATCGCCATAGTTTCAAGCAGCAGTTTGTCGGTACGAGAAAGGCTATCGGCGGTAAGACTCGCTTTATGAGTTTGGAGACATACCCCCATCTCATATGTACAACGAAGCATTATATCTGTACAATATGCAGGCTTACATCCCCAAAGATGGCTCAAAATCACATCTTCATGACGTACGACACGTGTTGCGCTCGCATTATGCAGCATGGGCTAATCTAAAAAACTCTAATACATTTAATGGATGTGATCAGTCCCTTTACAGTGGCTGATCAGTCAGATAATCTGTCTATTTGGATTTGCGACACGTCACCTTGTTGATATAGGTGCGTGTCATCCGTCATATTTACTGATATTTAACTCGTGTCTGAATCACGCGCTATCCCACTAGCACTGTCAGTTGAATTCTCAGGTTTCAGAATGGATACCAATATACAAGCAATCCCTGGACTAGAGAAGGCTTTTGCTGTGAGGCCGTCCTCGGACGATAACAATGTGAGATAATCGCGCTCCAAGCGCTCATTCTCGACCATCCTAACCAAGCCTTTCTATTACAGGACATTTTCACTAACGTACATTCTCTGTGGTGTCCGCTCGGACTCAATGCCGTATTTGGAGGCGTCCTCATGTCTCAAGCCCTTAATGCGGTAATGCAGCGAGTCTCGCCTTCCTCTATCGTCCACAGCATGCATTGCCACTTTGTCAAGGCCACCAGGGTCGGGACCCCTGTTTTTTATCATGTGAGCCGAGTGAGTCAGGGCAAAGCATCCAGTGTTTACACTGTATCTGCAAGGCAAAATGATCATGATGTCCTCATCGTAACCGTGAGCTTTAGACGGGCCTCAGCCCCAGTTGGAAATGTCTTGAAACATGCAGTTCCAAAGCCTGAATTAGCGCTGGATGATGAGATGGAACCCCATCGCTATGGTGAAGGCACTGCGAGATCTCTGTTTGAGTTCAAGATGGCAACGGCTTCCATCGGTAAGCCCGAGAGACGATGAATATCTGACTTTGTGCTAACTTGTATAACCAGGAAAAGGTGACTCCGATCCCGAGACCAAGTACTTCAGACGCATTGTTCGCGCACAAAGTAATTTGGCTAGGCCAAGTGGCAGCAACGAGCATTTGCTTGCCCTGGTATGTATGACAGATACGTATACTGCTGGAACGGTCGGGAGAGCCCATGGTATACCAGTATATACTAGATTCAACGCCGGTTTGAAGGACGGAAATCCTCAAGCACAGGTGGCCTTCAAGGCACTGTCCACTGTAGCTCATACCATTCACTTTCACAACGTGGATCATGTCTGTGTCAACCAGTGGATGACGGAAGAGCTGCATTGTCCTTGGGCTGGACACGAACGTGGCCTGGTAATATCACGTGTATGGTCATCAGATGGAGTCTTACTGGCTACTTGCTCTCAAGAGGTGAGCAAGAAGCTGTCTTACTATTCGCAGCGTTCATGTTGCCCACTTTCGACTAACTTGTGGATACAGGTTTTAGTTCGACTCCCCCAGGACAATATCCCAGCAAGGCTGTAATGAGCATACCTCAATGTCCACTTAGTTTGTAAAATTTCGTGCAGGTTATTTCTGGTCGATAACAGTTTGTATCTTTACATGCCTCCTGCACCTTCAGGTGGCCACCATAGTAATACTAGTGGCGGTGCGGCTACCTTGACGGTCGGTAGCACATCTGAAACTGGAATATGCGTCATGTTGTAATGCCCATTGATTACATGCTGATCCAAGATTACCGTGACTTGTATTCGTGTAAACAAGTATGCATCCTGGAAATAAATTTCGCATAGCTACCGACTGCCTGTATGATCCTTCTTGGCCAATGGCGCTTCAGACGCTCTAACGGTGCTCTGATCAAGGCTTTTTGGAATGGATCTGGCGGTCTGCATATCTACGGAAGAGGCACAATTGTATATACTATTACACTGAAGTCAGTTTTCTTCAGATATACGGCATGACACTATTGTACTTTTTGCGCTACTCCATCAGCAAATGTTCATCTACATTCGAGTTATTGGTTGAATGCAAGCCTCGACTGCACAGCAACTCTTTATGAAATGCTTCATTCGTCTCTTGACACTGAGTCGCGCGACAATAATTCCCAGTATGTTACTGAACAAGCTCTCAATAGAGTACCATATTGCTCAATAAAAGCCAGAAGCCAATTATCTCAGCCCATTGAAGGTAGCTAACCTGCCACACGGGGAAATGGACATCATCCGTTGGAAGGGTATTCCAAAACAACATCTAATCTGACCCCACGCCCAGCTTCAATGCCTTAGACATACCTTAGTGCCATTTCGAGAGCACAGAGTCAAGGTGAGTGCTTCCCCCCATTGGCCAGAATCCCTGCTCTCCAGAATTGAGAATTGCTGTGCCAGACGGACAGTAACATATGCGGCTTCTGTCAAGGCATATTGTTGGCCGATGCAGATCCGAGGACCACCGTTAAACGGCAAGTATTCCCATCCTGGGCGCAGATCTGCCCAGCGCTCCGGACGAAACTCATTTGCATCAGGTCCGTATATATCTTGACGGCGGTGCATTGCCCAAACGCTGTAGAACACGATAGTACCCTTACGCACGAAAACAGGGGATCTTCCGGCGGGACCGCCACCAACTGGCAGCACAGTATTGCTCAGAGCTTTACGAGAATTTACTGGGACGACTGGGTGAAACCGAAGCGCTATACACAGAACGTTAAATAAACGAGGAACCCTGCTAGTTGATGACAATGCATGTGTTGGAAACTTACACTCATTCAGACAGTGTTTAAGGTATGTCAGATTCCGAAGCTGCTGGTATGTGGGTGCGCGACCGTTGAGAGTCGCGACCTCCTCACGCAGCTTCTTCCATATTTTCGGGCACCGCGCAAGCATAAAGAACAAATTGCTCAGTAGCGATGCGGTGGTATCACGGCCGGCAAGGAGAATGTTCATGAGTTCATCACGGATGCGGTCGCGGTCACCTGTCTGTTCAGCCAAACCCTGTAAGAACAAATAGCGGGTATGCCTTCCCTCATCGTTGGAGCTCTTCTTGGCATATCCTTCACGGTACTTGAGTGCCTTATCGATGAACTGTTCCACCAGGTTATGACAAATACGGTTGGATCGCGTCGCCTTGTGGTCGGGAATAACCCGCCCCAAGAAACCGAGACGGGTGTTTCTGGCAATAGCATGCTGGGCATAGTTAAAAGCCGAAGCAAAATCACTGTCATCAGGTACCACGCCAGACAGACGCTGCTTCAGGCTTTGGACACTGTGGCCGAAGAGAAACTCGGTGGCGGAATCGAGGGTGTAGCAGAAGAAGAGGTCTTGCAGGTTCACAGTCGAGCCATCTGTAGGGATCAACGCCAACAGACCTTGCATCAACTCCTCAAGCTTCTCTAAATCCGCGATCTGGTCCTTGACGAAATTGGGGCGCACCATGGCGCGGGATTGAGCCCAGTGCTCGCCATCGGAGGTAAAGATTCCATGGCCTAATAGCGGACCGAAGGTCGCGACACGACTTCCCAGACCATAATCTTTAAAATTGAGGGATAAGACAGCTTTTAGATTTGCCGGTTCGCAGGTTATAATTAAGGGGGTTGTGAATCGCTTTACACGGAATGTATTTCCGTACCGTTGGAACCGGTGTTGGATGAGTTCGAGGAGACGGTGGGATTTCGCGGCTTGGATGTTCTCCAGAAGCACATCGATGCCGAAAAGAGGATCTTTCGAGGCTGTCAATACAGGCTCACAACCATGTACCTTAGCAAACTGTGACTCTATCCGTATACAACGCAATTTTCTGATTACGCAGAAGAAGAAAATAACAGCAGCTCCGACAGCTATCGTCAAGATATGGGTATTGTTGTTCTCCATAATGTTATCGCCTTGATAGTCGATCGCAAAGGCGCTGACAATTTTTATATCAAACCTGGTCGGACCGCAAAGCCGCAAGGGCATTCCACATTCCTAGGTGATTATAGGGGAGAGCTGAGACAAGGATGCACACGTGAGAACAGTAATCAAGGGTTCCGGCAGAAAGCAGAATTTGGAACCTCCTTGCAGCTGAAACCGCCTGTAGTAGAGCTTATTACTGATAAAGTGCATTCTCAGTCAAACCTGACCACCGTATTAGTGTAGTGCATTCGTATTTCGGACCCAAACTTTGAAGTTGGAGAACTAGAACAAACATTCATAACCGGAATTTATTATCTACCGTTATCAGTAACCCTATCAATTCATGTATGGAATGTTTTATAGTGCATTGATTCAACTTTCGGGTTATGTTGGGCTAACCCATCACACCTAGGGATCAATCACCAGCACATCCATCCCTTGTTGACCTATCTTCGCGACGCGTAGTTTATATAACACCATACCCTAGCATCGAGGCTCTCCTGACTACCGCTTCTCTAATATTCATCTCCTTGCTGCTCACTCGCGATCAGGTAGAGAGCTGACAGCAATTTCTACACTTGACTTTACATGCAGCGTTTTCTGCAATTGCGGCTACTTGCATATGTACTCCAAGGCTATCACTGCATAAATAGTATATTCAGGATTTATCACTACTCCCTTTCCAAGCAGAAGTTGGATGTTGCTACTGGCTATTCTGTTATTATACTTGGATTTTTGAAGTTGGAATGTATGTACCACCTTGGTATGTGGAAAATATGAGTTCTGGATAAACAAATTAATAATAGCATCGATAAATTTATAGCAGCCATCCTCATTGGCAATAGCTGGCTACGAGACTGTACTAGTTATAGAAGAAGGACTATACCTGAGCATAATAGGGGCCGTCATACAACCAGGTTGGCTTTCATGCCTAGTATCGCTCGCAATTTAATATAAGAATCTTTTCTACTCGCATAGTCGTTCAATAGACTCTCGGGGTCCCCTATAATGCATATGCTAATCCCCAATTTGAAAATACCGAATTGACGTGACTATATAATCAGCTATCAACCACATATCTATTAACAAAGCTCAAGTCTCTATATTATGACATATTTTGACGTTCATGCCGCCTGACAGAAATAGTCGCAATGAATGACGAGGTAATTATTGACGATCGCTTGAGATTGTAGAGAAACCAAATGAACCAATCCAAAGCCAAGTCCGTTGTGCCATCATTTTAAAAGCGACCCATTTTTCCCTAATGAAACTTTGTTGCTGATAATTTGCAGATAGCTTGCAGAAGAGGAAGTACTGTCATGTGTAAGCGTGCTGACGCGGGTGGGTCGGAAGGAATGGAAAGAGCCATTGGATCCCTCGTGGCGTACTCACTAGCTTCCAGCAGGATAGACTAACATCACTGGCATAATCTGGATTATTAACAATGCTCTGTTGCTTAGTTCATTATTAGAAATCAGGTTATGTGCAGTGATTGTGATATATAAAGTACACAGCTGAATAGTTACTGTGGCCTAGAATGAATAACAATTACAAGCAAGCTCAACTATCGATTAAAACACCATGTCTCAACCTGAGCCTTCAATTGTGATTGTCCCAGGAGCCTGCGCACTACCTGAACTCTACGATCCGGTGACTACAAGAATTGCAAGTCGGGGCTACGAAGTCCACACAGTCCGGCTACCCAGCGTGGGCCCCAGCGATGGCCCCCTCCCAGAGCCCGGCACCATGTATGACGATGCGGCGGCGATTGCGCGTCAGATTGAACGGCTAGTGAAACAAGGAAAGGAGGTCGTTGTGGTGGCGCACTCGTATGGCGGGACGCCCGCCAGCCAGAGCATCCAGGGTCTCATCAAGAGGGAGGGCAGCAAGGACGCTGGTGGGGTGGTACGCCTGGCGTTTATGACGGCCGCGGTGCCTCCCGAAGGCAAATCGACTGCGGACGTATTGGGTAGTCTTCCTATGGACATCTCCGTCGATGACCAAGGATGGATGAGTCTCGTCGACACCGCGGCCTTCGCAGCCACAGCCTTCTCCGATATGCCCCCGGACGAGGGCATGACATGGGCTCGACAGTTCACACACCATTCAGCAGCGAGCTTGGCTAATGCCTTGACGTATGCCGGGTACAAGAATGTACCCGTCGCGTATCTGCTGTGCACTGACGACCTGGTTATTTCGCCAGACGTGCAGCAGAAGATGATTGATACGGTTGCAAGTGAGAGTGGGCGGGAGGCGGACGTGACAAGAATTCCCACTGGCCATGTTCCTGTTGCAAGTGCTCCGGAACTCGTGGTGGATTGGATTCTGAAGATCGTAGGCTGGGAGGAGAAGTGAGACAGCCGTTGTGGAAGAGCACAGTTTTGGTTAGGCATATGGAAACATATAATTTTATGGCGCTCAACCACTGAGAAAAGGAGCCGACATCGTTGCTTAACAATCCATAGTATATTTAATGCAAGCATGCAAAGGGAATCGAGGTGTCTCCAAGATGACCATAGTTATGCCTCTTCCCGGATTGATGTACTCCTCAATTTTGATTTCCCAGTGCCATAATGGCGTCGTAGGTGACCCATATCTCAGGAAGGGCTCTGTATACGAACGGAGCAGGAATCACAGCAGCCTGACTATTTCCGTAGTAATAACGTATAGAGCCCTTACTAAGAGGGAATTCTCGCAGGCATTCCAGAAGCCCTTTGACTTCCTGAGCGGACACAGGACAGCTGAAACTGCTGGACTGGGCCTCAGACGCCTCTTGGTGACCATGAGACTTGATCGCATCGCCATCGTCGATGATGGTCATGTTATGGAATTTGTGCGGCCCAAATATCCTGCATGTAAAGGAACATTTGTGCGGGAATCAACCCTCCGGTTTGTGATTCGACTTTCAGGGGCAGATGCAACATTAGCATGCTGTTGCGACCTGGTCATCAATCTTAGCAGGCCTTAAAAGTCGTTCTAGTGAAGCTTACAGTGCTCTTACAATTGCGGGTGTTAATGGCGCTGAATGGTGAAAGTATTGATGTGCAAATCCACGCTTCCGACAACGTGAGCATGTAGTCTGTGCATGATCACTACAAACCTTGTCTTTGCGATAAGGCTCATGGTCGAGGGGGGTTTTGGTTTGGTGATGAACATGTGATCCCGATCCATGTTTGCTTTGTAATTGTTTAGTCAGCCACATGATAGAGACGGTTAACGTAGTCAAGTTAGATTAACTAGCTTAACACTTAACAGAGTTACATCGTACTAAATCTTCATATCTAGCAGTTTACTGATTTATTGTGAAAATTCATCTCTACTTCTGGACCCGTCAGATTGTTGTGGCCCACCTTACTTCAGAATTACGTTCCACTTGATGGAACCCGACAGTGGAACCCTGACGGGGCGATGACGGCACGAAGCCCTGGCTCCCCGGAACCTGATCGGAAGCTATCCGCATGCAAGGCAGTCAGGGGGTTTGCCCCCGTCGTAGGTGACCACGGCATCTTGATTCTCGTATTTTTCCAATCGAAGAGTACCAGCACGCCATGGCAGATGCTTCAAATTCCACAAGCACCTTTACCCTTCAAGGCGTCGGGGCCAGTAGTGTACGATACGATCCCTGCTAGAGGTGCGGAAACTCGGAGCTAATCCCAGTATTTACTAACTCTAGGTCCTTGGTTCCAAGCCAAATCAGGAAGACAGGTACACCGTCCTCCTGCCTGACGAATTTGCGGGGCACACGGACAGTCTGGCTTTCTTTGCCGTATATGACGGACAGTATGGGAATCACATCATGACTCTGACAAGGTAGCCGGGACTAACTTAGGGAAAAGTGCCTCAGATAAGGTTGCAGAACATGCAAGCAAGAATATCCGTCGGCTTCTGACTATCAGTAAAGAGTTGAGACAGGGAAACTATGAATCAGCCATCGAACAAGCAATCCAAGCAGAGGAGAAGGAGCTTCTGCAAGGGTTTTGGGCTGGCGAGGAATTATACGCCGTAGCCGGATCGACTGCCGCCCTGGTCTTCGTGAATCTAACCAGGGGCATCTTAGTGGTCGCCAATCTGGGAGATTCGCACGTTTTGCTGGGAGAGGCCGACGGGGCAGATCACACGTCGCTGAGAGTCGTATGTAGAATTCACAGGCCTGTTTGTTTGTACCAGCGTCCTCTAACTGTTATGAAGGAGCGATTAACCACATCCCACAAGCCGGAACATGCCGGGGAGAGGCATCGCATTGAGTCCGCCGGAGGGACTCTCAACACAGATAGTGGTGTGCCACGAGTTGGTTAGTTTATCCTCGTCCCATATCGCACGAGGTCGCGGACCTAACTTCCGTAGGGGGCTTGAATATATCGCGGGGACTGGGCGATTTACAGTATAAATTGCCGCTAAAGGATATCGGGGAGCAGTCCATATCCGGCGGCCAGGAGAAAGTATGCGTCGAACCATCAAAGAAGGGGGATTTAGTCTCCAGTTACCCTTCTTTCAAAAAATATACTCTGCAGTCAAATCGTCGGTACTTCTTGGCCCTGACCACAGATGGGGTTACCAATACAATGGATGACGAAACCATCATGCATCAGATCGCAGAGAGCAAGCATGAGGGAATGGATGCTGACAGGGTGGCCGCGAAGATCACCGAGAAAGCTTCAAAGGCACCCAGTAGTGACAATGCCACCTGCGTCACTGTGTTCCTGGATGGGCACAATGTACGAAATCAAGAGTAAAAAATGAGCAAGGCTGGAATTAGCATGTTTACTCTCCACTTCCCATGTCGATCTAACTAGGCATTCCGGGATATCTTGGCATTCCCGTTGACGCCCGCGGGTCCAGCGAGTCGTAGATCACCGCTGCCACAGCACGTAGCATCCTGCATCTCTCATAATTACTAAGTGTACTACGTTGCAGGCTCGTTCCTTCTATAGGGTGACGGCAAGACCCACTATTACAAAAGTATCGAAGGTCATCGACTTTGGCTGTCGCATGTGGCTGGATGCGGCTAGAATGTCAGGGTCCATGGTTCGGATCAATGACCTCAGCGGATCAAGCCAATCATGGAAGCAAAGTCATCCTTATCTCGATCGAGCAATCATAGCAAAATATTGCATCACGGAGTCTCAAACGCGTTCGTCAATCGGGGTCTTCCTATTGGAGAGTTCGCACAGTACTACATAAATAGCCGCCGGCCGGCAGATGAAAAACTATATACATCCGTTGTTTGAACTCGCTACATATAGACTATCCCATAGACTTTGCTGCTCGTTTAGCTCTGCAAGATGTTCGAAAGTGTCGTGTCACCACCCCAGGTACGTGGTCGAGTACCTCGGGTTCAGACAGTCGCAAGACCGGCCGTTGCGACCAATATCATCGATATCCGCAGTGATGAAGCAGAGACACAGCTCCGCCATTCGCTCGAAGAGTCCATCCATGCGGCCTGTCACGGGGAGGCTGCCATGCCGGAGCTTCTTCTCTGGGATGAGAAGGGACTACGCTATTTCGAAGACGTGACATATGCTCCATCCTACTACCTCACCAATGAAGAGATCGGTCTGCTCGAGAAGCACAAATACCAGATCGCAGAACACATTCCTTCCGGCAGTATGTTGATCGAGCTAGGCAGCGGGTAAACGTCCAAATATCTGAACTATAGTGGCAGCCACACTGACTGAACAATCAGAAATCTCCGCAAGATCAAGATCCTTCTAGATGCTCTAGATGAATTGGGTCGGGAAGTGGACTACTTTGCCTTGGATGTTTCGTATCAAGAGCTCCACCGGACTCTCAGCATCGTGCCCCCGGGGACATTCCGTCATGTCCGCTGCTTCGGGTTGCTGGGAACCTACGACGATGGTCGGGACTGGATGCATTTGCCCGAAATCCGTTCGCGATCCAAGACCATTCTCTCCTTGGGATCAACACTAGGCAGTTTCCAGCGGCCAGAAGCAGCCGACTTTTTGGCTAGCTTCGTCACCCCCGAAAGTAACTCGTCATTGCTCATTGGCTTGGACGGATGCAAAGACGCCGATCGCGTGCTGGCAGCTTATAACGATCCCGAGGGGATCAATCGACAATTCATCAAGCACGGCCTTGAACGCGCCAACGAGATCCTAGGGCCGGATACCTTTGATCTCGACAAATGGGCTGTCATTGGCCGCTGGGATGCAGCGCAGGGAAGCCATAACCAGTACTATCTCCCTTCAGAAGATGTGTCTCTGGCGGGCAAGACCATTCCGGCGGGCCGGAGGATATTGGCAGTCAAGAGCCATAAGTACGATGCTGATGACAGGGATGCGTTGTGCCGGAGGGCAGAATTGGCTGTTGGTGATGCATGGGCATCAAAGAACCAATACAGTAAGTCCATCACCCTTAGGTCCTTTTCGAACTTCGACAATCAGAATGGGTTTCCCTTCCTGTGCGAACACAACTAACCCAATCACAGATTTACTATATCTTGAGAAACCATAGGGTGTCACTTATGAGCCGGAAGCATGCAGATAAGCGAATAGTTTAGATATGGCTTCGGGAATCAGATAAAACCTCTCAGTCACTGCTCTAATTACCTTATTATATCATAATATACGAGTGTTGTATCATCCAGGAAAATGAGTGAGGAAGACTGCAGGCTGAATTCTGCGAGTCACACTACCTTGTAAATATGATTCTTAGTTACACGTGGCTAGCCAGGGGCCTGATCCTGGATGGGATGTTATCAAACCAATCGCCTTAATCCAAGTCTTGGGGAGGCTAGCATGTATGGTTCTAAAGAACATTGGTTAATCTACTAGCCTGCTTTTTTCTTGTTCGATCTCTGCTTTCTCCCGTTTCGTGATGAAGTCTCTAGAAGACAGACGATTCAGCTATTTCTGCTCGCGTTCTGGCGTTGCTTGTGGTTCGGGAAGATCCGCAGGCCCTCCGGTCGGTCAGCTGCAAGACCTTTTTGAGATGATGGAACTGACGGACTTGACGTATCTGACTCTGTTATGAGCTAACTGGAAACATGGCGTAGCAGCTAGTACAGAGGGTAGGAACATGGAGACTGGAGAAAGAAGAGGTGGCCTCGAGTCATGTGAGCATCATCTCACACTTGGGAGTACACCTAGGAACAGTTTAACCAAATGGTATCTGTATCCAGTGAATGTATTGTAGTGATAGCGATCATCACCCTGAGTAGTCGGCTTTCATCTTTAGGGTTTCCTACCATCCAGCAATCACCATCAACATGTACGTTCTATCCCTGCATTGACAATTAAAAACTATACACGTGACTATGTTCTTGATCTCTATACTATACTATTTACCGAGTTCGTATCCATATCCATATCCCATCCAAATACAACTATATTATTATATACCATATACCATCCAGCCATTTAAGAATAGGCAAACAAGCAGTCGCCTATACTTACAACTCCTTCTTCAAGAAGTGTTCTGGCTTATGCGTCGTCTCATAATCCACGTGTACATACGCCCGCTCCACATCCGGCAACGACTCCAGTTTCATTTGCAGTTCTTCTGCGACATCATGTGTAGCCCGCAGCGAATCGTTCGGGTCCATGACGATGTCAACTTCCACAAGCAATCGAGGGCCGGAGGTGTATGCACGGACGGTGTCGATGGCGGTGATGAGGGGGGAGTGGGTCATTGCTTTATGGTTATCACGTCATTAGCTTCTATAATTCACCTATAGACGAAGTGGGAGGAGGTAAGGGAGAAAAATAAGCTCACAGATATAAGTAATCAACTGCTGCATCTTCGTATCGGCCGTAACACCAATAAGCAACTGAAACTCGCGATACGCGCTAAACAGCCACAAGCAACTGACAAGCACGGAGAGGACAATAGCTCCCGCGGGATCAATCCACCAGCGTAGTTTACCACCACCTACGCTGGTAAGGATACCAAATCCGTTGATCAGGAGGTCATTGCGGTGGTCTTCCCAGAGGATCATGACCTGGGAATACTGATCCTTTAGCGCGAAGCAGTACAGGAAGAGCACGAATTTAGTGCAAAAGGCGACGATGACGGCGACAACGGAAGGGAGGTGGAAAGATCCCGTCTCAGAGTTGGATCCCTCGGCGAGTTCGCGAATAGAGAAAGCAATGAGGATGAAAGAGACGGCTGTCATGAGGAAACAAAAGCAGATGTTGCCGGCTGTTTCGATGCGAGCTTTTCCGGCGGGAAATTTACGGGGGTCAACGCGGTTGACGGCCTTGTTGGAAACGAGGAGAGTTATGTTGGAGAGAGGATCGAAGACGGCGTCGGCCATGGTTGTGTACAGGGAGAGGGAGCTGGAGGAAATGGCTCCGTAGAGTTGCAGAACACAGAGGATGACATTGGCGGCGAAGGAGCCCCAGACAGCGATTTTGTATTTAAGCTGATTGCTGCTGTTTGTTTCACGGGCGTCGCGAACGTGTTCTTCGACGGGCTTGAGCATGCGTTGAATGTTCTCATTCTGGGACTCGTAGAAGGTCTGCAGTTGTTTAGAGGCTAAGGAGGATGCGAGTGCATTGCGGGGGTTGGCGGTGTGGGGGAGGCAGCCAGAGGTGTGACGCTTGCGAGAGATGTTGGCTTGGGGTTGCATCCGGGCGATTTCTTCGGGACTTTTCAGTTTCGAGGCTAATTGGAAGGGGTCATTCTCGCGGGTGTAACGCGGAGGTGGGCTAGACTCCTCGTCGGACGTGCTGAGGTGAGACTCCAGGGCCGTGGTGGTGGCAGCATTGTAGGAGATGGACGAAGGGAGGTGGTGAAGAGGTATAGTATGAGGAGGGTCGGTCATTGTGATGATGATGATGACGATGATTAGATGAGAATCAAGGGACAATGGAGATGGAGATAGCGGCGGACAAGTGGGAAATCAGCGAGAAGCGATGAAAGGGTTCAGGGTGCGGAGATCAGATTTGATTGATATGCCTGTTTGGGTTAGACCGGAACGGCTTATGTCATGTCCTAATTTCACATCCCTACCGATTACGTTATAGTTAACATGGCTTCTGGGGATTTGTGAGTCACTTGCATTCATAACGCTAAGACTCGTATGCAAATAGAGTTCAATTGACTGATGACTGCTTATAAGCATGTGGTTGCATGGATTAAAGCATTAGTCGCATGCAGTGATGTCCTAGCGAATCATCCACCAGAGAGGCTTCCACAGCATTTACAGACAACCTGAAACTTGGCGAGAAGAAAACTAGAATAGGCGCTCAAATTAATGTGATTGAGTATTTTCACAGTCATTGAGTCTCTCACAGGCACACTGCAGGCAAAGACTATACTACATGAAGACGAGGACATCGACAGACACATAATGGCCAATAACTAGTATCAATAGCACAGCAGAACTTATGACAGCACAGTGATGTTGCTTGACAGTGTCGTACATTTGTACGGAAGATCCAATGACGGACGTCCAGCACCAGTCAGCGGCGACGTGCTGTAGTTGTAGGTTGGGCTGAGCATCATAATCTGGCCCACAGTGGTGTTGTACTTGTCTGCATAGTCCTTGTACACACCATACTCCAAGGTGAACGGCCGAATCACGCACTCACTTGGAGAACACAATGGCACCTTGAGGTACTGACCCGGAGCAAGCACCTCATCAGCCGAGAAGCTGGTATCGTCACTCATGAGCGACTCAGTCGTGATGTTCAATCGTTTCGCGACAATGTCGAGGGTATCCCCGTTGACGGTATAGTATAGACGCGGACCGCCGTCGATGCAAGTACGGGTGCGGGTGATGTTGGGCAGAAGGCAGGTCTCATTATCGGGCTCGCAGACCTCAGCGGGGATGATCAGAGTCTGGCCGACGTTGGGGACGATCGTCACGTCGGCCATAAGGTTGTGACGGCCGATGTCGCAGACGCCCCGGTTAGTGGCCTTGGCAACATCGAAGACTGTGGTATTTTCCACGGTGATAGGGTACAATCCCACAGTGGTGTTGAGGGCGGTGGTATTGCAGGCTGCCGAAGTCGCGAAGGTTGAAGGCAGTAAGGACAGGAGGGCTGCACTGGCCATGAGGGCCTGCGAAGAAAGAGACCACATTTTGTTCGGAATAAACAGAAGCAGAGAGGGTGCCCGGGAGATATACAAGAAATGATTGTAGAGGTAAAAATGTACTGTGATTTCTGATGTTGAGCCAGGAAATTCAACTCGGGTCACGTACTGGCTTTATATACTCCCAGCCAGCGTGTGGCCTGTCTGAGAATTCAATATGTTTCTGTACATTATCAATCCGTCCTGAGATACTGCGCGGGCTATCAGTGGAGGAGTACGTACCATCGGTGAGGACATTGTTGGTTCTGTCCCCGCAGGGTGAGCCTGCAAGCATAGGGAGGGCCTCGTCCTGCAGCACCAGCAATTGTGAACATGTACCCACAGCTTTAGAGATTGCATGCCTGCGACTGGATGGTGCAGCAGACCCTCCGCAGCCCCGTGAATAGAATCTTGTTCACTTGGCTATATGATGCTGCAGGAGCGCTGGCTAAGCCCATTACAGCTATTTCGCCCGAGGAGGGTTTTCGGCGATGGGTCCTACTGACCCGCTCCGAACTTGACCCGCCCTAAGAGCAGCCAAACAGATGGATGGGAGTGTCCATCGCAATATTTCTGTCGGAGTCTGGATTGGATGGCTAAAAGTTGGAGACGGAAAAAAGGGTTCAGTTCATAAAGAGTAGTAAATGCCGACTTGATGAGATATCATACGCAGTAACTAGATAGATAGATTGCAGATATGAGCCATTCGGGTTTGCACAGACCCCGTGAGGTGGAGCCGTACCCCGTAGCGCGGAGATAATATTGCTATTTTACTAGTAATCAGTCATCCTGCCCTGCTGCCCTTATTGTCCTTCCTCTGCTTCTCGCCTTCCGCCTCCCAGCCTCCTTCTCCCGTCTTCCATCTTACTCTTCTCTTATTGCGGACTAGCGGTGATGATCATGCGGAGAATGAAACTTTCATCTCAACGGATCAAGCAAATTCCACCCAAGACCCTCCGCGTTTGCCTGGGACGCGTCATGGCATGCATCCGAATCCCAGCTCTGATCATGTCGCTGCAGGAACCCTGCTGGTTAATTGGTTCTTTCTGACCTATTACTCCGAGTCTAGTGCTTTGGTCGGGGAAATGCTTCCCCTCACATTCCTGGCTCCTACGCTCATGTCTGTACGTATCCCTCTTTCTCAGCGGATCCACCATGGCAGCTCGGTTTCCAAGGCCAATGCTAGCTTCGTAATTTTCTTGCAGGCCTCCGGTCGTCTTAACGCCGACTGGGCTGAAATTGGTGAGACATGTGTATTGAGATCAAGTCTAGGAGAAAAGGAAGGTAACAAGAAAGAAGTCAATAACTTCGATAACTTTTGTGGATCACAGCGAATCTCTTCTTTGCATCCACGCTTGCGCAATTGCATCTCAAGATAGGACATCGGAGCTGATGGGTAATATGCTTCGACTTCCGACCTAACTAGTAGCATCCTTCGATGATACATCCCCGGCAAAACCCGGCCTCTTTTGGCCTGTCAAACGCATTCCATCCCGCTTGAATTCTTCCTGTTTTATGCACGGAGTCTTGGCCAGCGGAGTGGTATTGATGCCCGGGTTATAGCGGGTATTGTTATATCCTTGGGAGGGGTGAGCTCTTTCTAGACTCCACTGCCTAGTACACACAGAGAATGGTCTCCCAGTGTTTATTAGAGCTAGGCTGGGATAGCACATCAGTAGTTATCTTGATCTATATTGATTCCAGACCAGGTGCCTTATGCGTCATTTTGTTAGGCAATCAATCCAGGATTCACCCCGCAGCCAGTTTACAATGTGCAGCAGCGAACAGAAGAGCCGAACAATCACATCTGAGAAGAGGGCACTTAAGCTTCTAACCCCATGCTTGGTTATTCAGCTTCACTCGGGGATCGCATCTTTCCCAAAAGGTCCAGGCTGAATAGACGCGCCTGATACTTTCCCCTCTTTTGATTCAACCAGTTTGCCGGCGTCTTCGGTCATCTTCTCGGGGATAGTTGAAGGATTGATCGCGTGTGGCTCTGTCGGGAGTCGCGTAGTCCGACTCATGAGCGGCGATGGCGGTGGGGCCTAGCAGGAGGATTCCAAGTCCGACGCTGATGATTATTGAGCTTGCTAGCCCGTGGCGTTGGCGTAAAGCTAGGACTCCTTACGCATCTTTCACTCTGTCAGTACTCTGGGCCTGAGGGTGAACCAGCCGTCTGTTGTTTGTTTGTTCCAAGTTTTTTTTCTTCCCCTTTGACTCTGTCTCCGGACAAGATTGCGGGCCACGTCGGAGGCCCTTCGCAACTGTCACGTAGTCGCCTGTACGCTCAACCGCGTCTAGTATCTACAGCAAATTTACTTATCTTGTACGAAGTCTCATTTGCGAAGACGTATCTACAGCGTTTCTCTGTTGTTTATCATCCCTTATAGTCCTGTAAGCTTATATTGGAAGGCATCTGCCAAACGGCTAGTATCGTATCTCAAATTCCATGCAGTCCGGCTCTGCTCGGCCGGATTCAGTAGGCGAAAGCTATCCTATCAATCGCTTCCCTTGACTCGCTTAGTTCTGCGTCCCTAATGGTTGATTCACGAAGGTCATCACAGAGCCTCTTTGACTTGACAGTAATGCACGGCCGAGTCGAAATCAAACAGGCCTTGGATGATATCTATCTTCATCAAGCAGTGACTGCTGCTCCCAGCTTTCCTTGATCCACTCCGTGGTAACTATGTGAGGGATTTTCTGATCTGCTCGGGCAGATAAAGTTTTCCTTAGCGTGGCAATCTCTGTGGATGGTGTATCCGGATCTACAACCACATGGGTGATGGAGGGATCCTCACAATCATTGACAACGGTGGCACCTGCAAATCTGGCTGTATTGCGAGCCAAAGATAGTCGATAGCCGCAGCTGGGATGTTCCGAATTCCCGGCGTCTGGAACCTGCGTTGTCAGGTCGGGAAAGAAGAACGTCAAGTTTTGAAAAAGCCACCCGCATGGGAGATTCCATCCTGCGTCCACTCTCTCTTGGATAATTTCTCTAAGCTTTTTGGTAGCTTCGCCTCTCGGAGGCACATCGGAACTATTCTTGTCCGCGCTCATCTTATCTAGCAAGCTGACCAGCTCTTCCCTGGTGACATCCCGAGCGTAGCTGTCATCAAACTGGTCGACACTCGTCAATACCTCCTCCTCCTTACTGGGCGTGGTGAAAAACATGTGCCGAGGTTCCAGGGGAAGAAGCAAGTCTGGCAGGCCCGCATCAATCTCATTCTGCCTTACACAGTCTAGGATCCAAGATGGTCGGATGATGCTCACATCGCCATTCTTTTGCAGAGAAGCTGCTTTCACAGTTCTTCGGTCCGCGATACATACGGTGTTGGGAGCGGCCTTGTTTGTCTGATATATCTTGCCTCCATTCAATTTGACAAGTTGTTCCAACTCCGCCTTTGATTTCTTGATTGGGGCTACCGAGTCCGTTAAAATGAAAAAGTTGAACCCGTCGAAAATATGCCCTGACGGTCCTTCATACTTCACCTCTGCACTAGGGCTGTATCCTGCAACCGTCAAGGCTTTTTTTGGTCGCTTCACCCGTTTCTTGCGGAAGTTCTCAACACTGAATTCCTTCTCCTTTTGCTCTTGCTCCACATTTGACTTCAGATCCAGGAACTCTTGCATGGAAAGCGCGCTCTTCCAGTCCTTATCCATGCGTAACCTCTTGAACCGCGGAAAGCGCAATGTCAAACCGACCCGAAATTGATCACTGATCGATACTGATGCTGCTTTAACACAGAGGACCACCGAATTCTCTGGTTTGATCCACTGATCTGGACGCTCGTGCTGTGCATTGCCACCCGCCAGCTCAATGTATGCCGTTGGCGGATTTTTGGGGTTCCAGTCCATCCATTTGCCATCAGTATGATGACGAATGTTCGCATAGTCTGCCGCCGTAAAGCCTCCCCCGACCTTGCAGAAAGAATAGCATTTGGTGGAGGTATTCCCTTGCGAAGAGCTAGCATTGTCGACCCTCAAGCCACACAGAAAGCTTGCAAGACCCCCTCCTCTATGACCGCTGCCATAGTAGCCGCCTATGACTATCAGATCCAGAGACTCCCCAAACTCTGTCATGTACTCAGGCTTCACTTTCATCCAGTCGTCATGTCGTTCATTGAGGCGATAGGGGGCTCTCGGGTTTTTGAGCACTAGACCCTCTGAAGCCTCCGCAACAACTCTTCGAAGCGCCGCTTCGATCTGGGTCTTATCTGTAGCCTCCTCGTAAGGATGGACTTCGAACCGACGGTGAACTGACGTTACACTCTTTTGCAGGGCATTTCGACGATCGCGAAGAGTGTACCTGGTCAGATCGTGCCCGTTCAACAAGAGTAGATCAAAAACACGAAACAGCGGCCGTGATCCGTTCGAGAATGGGTTTCTCTGTTCGGCTAATGCGGCGGTCTTCAACGTGCCAAATGGTTCAGGGGCGCCCTGCTCAGGATTCCAGGCAATCATTTCACCGTCCAGGATCAAACTGTCGACACCATCTGCAAAGGCGTCTTTTAGATGCCTGGCCAAGGCACCATTGGGGTCCTCGAGGCTCTTTCCATAGAGGTAGGTGTAATCTTTCGCTTTCCTCGACCAGAAGCGAAACCTCCTTCCTCCTGGCACCGAGCTGTCAGACTGCATATGAAGCTGCATACGCTCCCCGTCGAGTTTCTCCTCAATCCAGAATACAGGGTCTTCTTGTGTACCCCGCATCCGGGCAATCATTCGATCAAAGGACTGCATTTGAAACTGAGCTAGTTGGGGCTGAAAGCATTGCATCAGAGAAATGCCACTGTTTTCAGCCCCCAGTCGAATGTTCGGATCATGCAGCTCCCAGCAAACACGCCGAAGGCTACTGGATATGCTATAGAGATTTGCAGCATCTGGGTGCCATACATTGAATAACGTTCGCTCTGTAGCCCCGACTTTCATTTGCCGAAGAATAATGCGGATCAGCCACAGCATCTCTTCGGGGTTCATTCTTCGGTAGAACTCCGACAGGATGGGCAGCTGTTGGTCCTCTTTGGAGGCATTTGAAAGCTGGTCGAGCTTGTCGTTCACCTCCTCGATCGACATATTGCCCACCTCCGTCCTCATGGGCCGTTTTGAGATAACATCGTAGCAGCGTCTGGCAAAGTCCCCCGCCATAAAGCGCGAGGTAGCCAATTGCCCTGGCAGCTTCCAGTTCAAAAGATTGAAGCCGTCCTCTGAGTTCTTGTCGATCTTCATGATTTTGACCAGTAACTTACCGATGGCCTTTTCTTTGATACCGTACATGGCGCGGTCACGGTCTTTGTCCGGAAGAATGAGCCGGAAGGCAGGATAAATATCATCGCCCACCTCCTTCCGCCATCGGGAGATGAACCGCTCAATGACATCCCGTCGTTTTTCGTGTGGAGTAAGGTTTGCTGCCGACTGGCCATGAGGCCCGACTTTTCGCCGAGGAACGGCAGATCCTGTGGGCTTCTTGGAGAGCTCACTCAAAGGGTTAAACAGGGTCTCAAAAAGCTCGTGAAACGGCAATGTCTGGGAGTGATTGTGGGGACGGTTTGGGTATTTCTCGTCCAGATTTGAGTCTTGTTGTGAGGGTTGACTGTAGGAGTGGGACTTTTCATGATTGCTAGTCTCTTCCTCATCCATGGCTCATCGATGTGCTCTGTATAGGGTGTTTGTCGGTTAACAGGTAGGAGCAAGCATTTATAGGACCATGTACTAGGCAGTGCAGCTGACCAGGCTGGCGAGGTGGATGATGAAGTACTATGGAGACGATAAAGATGTGGAGAACGCCGGTCGGCGGAATGACACGTGAATGCACTATGTGGGGGTGGGTAGAGCACTACTAGTACCAATTAGGCAGCAACCACTGCAGGCACCCACCTCTGCTGCCTATTAAGGAGTCTGGAGGCAGCCTGAAGCAGATCGAGACTGAGTGTCTACCATTGGAGAGTTCTGCTAGACAGTCACACCTGATCACACTTGATTACGACTGATAAATCCAGGCTGGGGTTGGATGTCATGGTCTACCAGTAATACTGTGAGTCGAGTACGAAATATGTTACTACTACCAGATTTGTACTATGGATTGCACACGATGTATATACTAGTTGACTTACTCGTGTCTCTACTAGTAATACACAGGTTGTATCTCCCAGCTGATGGTGATTTAGTGTTGACATGAGGGCTATAATATGATGATACCCACAGTTAGCGTTAGACAAGATATTTAACTATCTACTACTAATAGTACTATCTTCTACCACCGTGACGATTACTCATTTGAGATTGACGTGATAATAAAAGCTGCTTATTTGACCGTTGATATATCTTTGAAATCATGGTAAACATATCGTTATTATGAAGGTTATGAACACTACTCTGCGTAGGCGTGCAATTTACAGTCACCTTCCGTCTTTCGAGCCAAGCCTTATACGGCAGCAACTGATTCAATCATTTCTATTTCTTCTAAGAAACCGAAACGCTTCAAATTAGCCCCTCTAAGGTATCCTTTTTATTCCCTTCTCCGTTGCAGTGTGTGGTATCCGAGTTGTCGGCGAGTTTCTGCAAGCGTAGCCCCCCTCTTCGTCAACAACTCACGGATCTGGGCTTCACTCTCCGAGATCTTGCGGGCGAGCTCCGCCACTTCACGCACGCGATTCCGAGGAATGATCACGACGCCATTGGAATCCGCGACAACGATGTCCCGGGACTCGACCCGGACCTTCCCAATACCAACAGGCCCGTTGACCTCACCGACCTGGACCCGATCTTTCCCTGTACGCATCCACCGCCCTGCAGTGTATAATGGGTATCCCTCCTCAAGGGCCAGATCCACGTCACGACACACTCCATCGATCACCGTGCCCGCAACCCCCCGCAGCGCGGCATAGTGAGTCATGATATCGCCCCAGACTGTACAGTCTGTGCGGCTACTGTTATCAATAACAACCACATCTCCAACCGCCACATCATCCAGGAAATCCCCTACACTGCCAGGCGGGTCGCTCGCAGGGACATAACGGACGGTGAATGCCGGACCAACTGTAACTTGCCTGTTACTCGAACCCGAAGAAGACAATGGCTGAATACCCCAGGCCTGTCCTGCGATTCCCAAGGAATCTAGTGCGTCCGAGACTGCTGGCGAGTCCAAACCCCTCAAAAGTCCAACCAACTCCTGATCCTCCGCACTCGCCTTCCGGGGATTCTCTTGCGATAGCGGGCTGGCAGCAGCGGCAGCAGACACGGTCTCTTGCCGGAGTTGCTCGAAGCGCGAGTCGCGCATTACCGCCGATACCGTCTGCCCGGAGCGTACTGCCTCTACCATCTGGTTTTCGCGGTTGTTAATCTGCTCCGCAAGGGTGAGGACGATCGAGATATGTGCTGCAGGGACGAAAACAGTACCGCACGCGTCTGCAATAACATAGTCATCCTGCTCGACTGTCACACCGCCACAGACACGCACGGGCTTGCCAGCGCTGACAGAGACTATGCGACTCCGGCCACTGATCATCGTAACAGCACGTCCGTAGAGTGGATACTGGACCTCGACGCTACCGTCGATATCTCTGCATACTCCGTCGATAACGGTACCCCGGATTCCCTTGGCCTTGGCGGCGTTTGCAATGATGTCACCCCAGCAGGAGACCCCCTCTAGCCCGCCGGCGATGACAAGAATCCGGTCGTCACTGCTTACTGCGTCGATAGTAGGAGCAAAAGGATGAGGTGTTGGAGCTGTCCCGATCCTCGGGCCTACTTCGACTGTGCTAGCACGGCCGACGATTTTCGGACAGTTCCAGAGAGGCCGGAGGCCGTATGTGGCACCACGAAGATGGAGGACATCTAATGCATCGGATACTGTATTGGTGTCGAGAGCCGCGAGGCGGTCCAAAAAGCTGGTTGTGTCACTCATCCTCTTCCGGCTATATGTGCGGACAGACTTTGGGAAAGAAACTCGGAAAATTGAGGAAAACATGTAACTATAACAATGGCTTTTGCATCTTGTAGTCAACTTGTACCCTGGCCCTCTTTATGTATCGGATATAGTCTGTTTCGGATGCAAATACTCCGTATATCGGCAAGAGTATGCGGGGTGGGACATCCCGAGTTGTCTGCCATCCCGGCCGACGGACGGGATGTGATGGTCCGTCTATTCATCGATGCAACGGAACCTCCTACCCCGTTGCATTCAATGGGGACCCCGCTATCACTGATCTTAGAGTAACATAAGTAAATCAATCATATCATGGCGCAAAGCAATTGTAGTAGAATAGAAGCGATTATGACGCGGGTATCTGCCAACCGGTGGACATAAACCGGCTACTATGCACTCAACGGCACTAAATGAATCCGGGTGCTGGGCCTCACTTCCGATATTATGGTAATACACTCTTATCGGGAAGTTATAAGGTATAGTGCATGATGACATCAGTTCTAGTAATGGGTAGATTTACAATTGAGTATCATATACACCTGCATATCATCAACCCCACTGACCGGCTTTATACTTACCCCCGGCGGGGGTTAGATAATGGATGCATTCATCCAGCAATCAGCGAATTGATCATAAAGCCTTTTTGATAGTATTGGCATCCAAGTAAGCGAATCAAGGTTGAAATCCGGTTCCATGTCGCTTGGCTGCTATCGCGGGATGCTGTGCAAATGAACTTGAGACTCGAAGTGAGATACTACTACTACGCACTCGGGCTATTGATCTATTGGACTTCTATTTGTAGGTAAGTAGAAGATCTAAGTACTCTGCTTGGACAGACATTTACAATACCTCATGATATCTCTGCAGACCTATCGATCAAGTATTCATATTCTATTGCCATCATACATCGGATCGGTGCTTTGTTACACTGAATACAACTTGCTAGCTGACCTGTCACTCACGGTATCAGTAGCTAGGAGAATATAGTACAGATGAGAACGTCTATCTCCGCCACCAAAGGGCCCCGGAGAACTGTGAATAATCCGGCCATGCAGACTATACAGGTACAGTTCGTGCTTCCCATTAGCCTACACTGGTGGAATAGACTCTCGGCAAATGGGGCACTGCAATCGAAGTCGCATCCAGCTCTCGAGACAGGTACTATGGAAGATATGCCGACATGGGGTGACCATGTATGTCCGTCGGCTGAGGAGACTCGTGGCCCCGTCCGTCATGCTGCTACTGCCAGCACCGCCCGGAGCTGCAAGGACGGGAACCTCGATTTCTTGCATGCAGATGGCACAATCAAATACTGCCTTCTTCTTATCTTTCGCCCGTTGCTTATCTTCATCTTTGGCTTCCATGGAGTATTCCCGCTCGTCAGCCCTCAAGGCCCCGATTGGAAGGACTCCGCCAGACTCAAGATCATCGCCGGATCCAGAGCTATCGCGTAGCACGGGGTGATAGTCATAGGCGGGTGGCGCCCACCCACTAGGAACAAAGAAGCGAGGTCCCAGAATGTCCTGGCTAGCCAATACCCAGACCTGAACCCACACCCAGCCAGCCAGTGCCAGGGCTGTGGTTGAGTCGGGCCGAATGAAAAGCACATTCCCGCGTGCAGTCAAAAAGTAGATGAATGGAAAGAGTCGAAGGAAACTTTGGCCAACCACAAATTCCCAGCGCAGTGCTTTGCGGCAATTGCGCATAACATTTCGATATATCTGGGGTACCCAGAAGGATAGATATACAAATCCGAGGGTCCGAGCATATATGGCTCCCATACGGTTTGGCCAAATGAAAGACCAGACAGATATGATAAGGAGGACAAACAAGATAAAGTAGAACCGGGCGTACATGGCACCGACATCACCTCGTGTATCCTGCGCAGTCGGCGTAGCGCCCCGATTCGCAGGAGGCTCGTTTTCCTCTGATGGAGGGTCCTGGTCGGGGGTCAAAATGATAGGCGTTGCGCCAGTATCAGTCACTCTAGTCGTAGTAGCAGGGAGTGGAAGGTTCCCTGATCGCGTAGTGGGATTCGGTCGACGTTCTTGCTCTCTTCGCTCCGGGGCCTGAACTGCCCAGATTTCCATCATGAATTTCATTCCGATATAACTGACCGAGAGGAAGGTCAAGAAGGATGCTGTTGTCATAACAAGGAAAGAAACGGCCGGATAAAGCTCTAGTAGCATGAAAACAAGTACGAATGAATCGCCGAACGCCATGAGCGCGATCGTGTAGAAGCTGATCCGGCTCCTAGTAGATGGCGTGGATGCTTCTTTGATTTGACGCAACAGTAATGCGATCTGGCCAACGGAAAAGGCTGAGATCATAAAGATGATGCGAGCAGAGAATTTGCCAAATTCCTCCATCTTCGGCCCCGATAGATAGAGTGCTTCTGTCGGTGGGAAGTCAGGAGCTCCCTTAGTCTCTAGAATGTACCCACAATCAGGCGAGAACACGACGGCTGACATAACTAAGGGCGGAGGAGACGGAATGGGGGCTCCCATTGGATATCTCAGCTCTTGTTCTATCTGCTCGATGATCGTTTTATCTGTAAGGTAGCCATGAATCGCGACGGGATGCAGCTGGAGGTAGACGATATGTTCACATTTTGGAGCAGGGTATTCCACCTGCTCCGTCCCGACAAGTGAGGACCAAGGAAATAGGGTAGGAGGTCGATTCTGCTTCTCAGATATAGTGTCCGAGAGGGATTTGACGAGAAGCTGGTGGGTGAGGTTGTATGCGTCTGGCGACATCATCAAATGTGGTAATGCGAATACGCCACCAAATTTCTCGCTGGTTGTAGTCAAGATGATAGCGCCCGTCTCCGGGAAATGAACACCATACAGCGACAGATACCAGGTGTTACCCCAGAAATCGCCGCTCTCCACAGCCAAAGTTGCTCGGATCTCCCGAACCTGGCCCTCAGGCAATTGGACTTCCTCACCACCGCCCTCCCGGAGATCAAGGTAGAAAGTGCCACTATCCCCCGTAACATTGTGACTGAACTCATGCGTGAAGTATTCGTTCTCCAGTGCAATTGCAGTCGTGTTCAACAGGGCATGTTGTTTGTTCTGTTTGTGGCGTACCCATTCCCCGCGCAGCTTACCGGTCGCATTACGATAGACTGGGAGGAGTAATTGGGTCAAGTTAAGACCGGAGAAAGCGTCAGGCACGGCAAGGGCCTTGGGAGGCCTCAAGCCCGCTTCAGCCATGGTGGACCGCAGCTGAAACCGAGCTCTGTCCTGAACATCTGGAAGAAGATCCCAAGCATAGCTATCGTTCTTCCTGACACCCGAAAATGGGAGCCATCGGTCGGTTCCCGGATCGAAGTCGCCATACTTAGACTCATTCAACATGTGAAGCGCGTTCCGCTCCCTCACAAGCTCTCTTTGGTGCTCTTCATCCTGAGAGACCAGAGGTGAATGCGACTGCGAGCTCAGAAGCAGGTAGAAAACTACCAGAAAGAAGAAAAAAGAACCGCGGTGATCCATAGGTGGCCACAAATCGCGGGCATCGAACGGAGGAGGGTTGCTCCTGGAGGCCCAACTTCTGGTGTGCTGCGCAGAGACGGGCAGCCCTCGCGAGATCCTCGACTGTTGTAAGAGCGCGAGGACCAAGCAGTACCAGTACGACGTCACTATCGGAGCAGCACGTGATGCAGCGACCGGGAGGGGCCACGGGACAGTCGGAAGGGTCGATGACACATGGATCCAAACAGAGGTTGGCTGGTACCAGAGAATTGAAGGGGCTAGACCTCGTGCTGTCAAGATATTGCAAGTGCAAGATGCATCGAAGCTGCGAACTCCCTTGTACAACAACCAGGTGGTATCTTATCGGGAATGAAGGCTAGATAGATAGTAGACTTAAGGGGGGCCGACGGGCGGGAGCGAGAAAGCACCGGCGCACATGAGGCTGCCGACTAGCCCCAATCCAAGACGGATCCGGGGCAATAGATGATCCGATAGATCGGTAGTATACTACTATTACTACTACTACTGCTACTACTAAAGTATAAGTACTTGTATAATAATTATGAGGCCATATCGTCTTCGGGTTATTCACCGGCCAGGTGAAATCTGCCCTATGCCGAACATGACGAAACTTCGAATATGCTCAAGCCGACACTAGGGTCAGACAGTGAGGACTGTCTATATCCACTGCTAGCACAACTGTATAGCGGGCTCGATTAGCCGGAAAGCCAGAAAGTACCGTCTGGATTGACTATAGGATCGGTTTGAATTTTATTCTTTATATAATCATGAAAGACAACAACGCATGACAGGAGGCTACATATCAACCCGCTGTTTGAAGAGACTCTTGCCCCTCAGCCATTGTCGATAGCGCTTATAACGTTTCTTCTCATAATCCTCGGCCACCACAGTCAGGCCTCCCTCCGAGACATTCAAAAACTCAGCATAATCCGCAAGGTTCTCCTCGGCATTAGCTTCCAGAGTGGCCTCCTCTACGTTGCACTTATTTGCATATTCCAGTAAATCCAGACTGGATTCATGCTCACGAATGGAAGTGGCAGTCAACTCGTCTTCAGAGGTCACAACAAGTGGAACCTTCAAAGGATGGTTAATGTAGCGTTCGTATTCTTCTCCTTCTGCAGCGGTCACAGACGGGTTTAGCGAGTCGGTCACTAGCTGGCCAAGAGTCCACTGCGCAATTTGCGTTTTGCTCGGAGTGGTGACCGTCGACTCCTGAGAAGAATGCATGGAACTGAAGGAGTGAGGCAGTCCGAATGATGTAGATTTCATAATACCTGCAGACGGTGGTAATTTATCAGCGGAAGGCGGCTGATGAATCCAGTTGTAGCTGGACTGGGATGTTGCGCTACCGAGTTGTGGGCGGCCCGCTGGATCGATGGAGGTCTTAAGCGGTTCCTGGATCTTGACGCTACGTGGTGGGTGTCGTTCCCGGTTGATCTGATCGTGCGGGATCCGGGGAACAAACGGACTAATGTCGTACGGGGCGCCGGAACCAGGCCGGAATGGCAGATAGCGGAGCGTTGAGTTCATTTTGTAAGAAAAGATTTTCGAGAATGACGACACGGCTAATGGCCTATAGTACTCGAGCCAGTAATCGTCGTAGTGAGAGAGAGGTTCCTTTGGAGGTCGCGGAGGGGGTGGCACTTCTTTTTCCTTCAGATTCTCAGGAGTGTACCAGCAAATGTAGTTGGGACGTCTCTTGTTGGACCAGGATCGCGGGTCAGCGTGGTGCAGGTAATAATCGGTCGACAGATCCCACAGCATCGGCTGTCCTTGGGAAAAGATGTAGTTCCCGAGGAACAGATTGTAGGCTTCCTGGCGCTGGGCATCGAGAAATGAATTGTTGTAGTACCGTTTGAAACTCTCCACCATATCGCGAGAATGACTACTCCACTGGTTGATCTTGCGGTATGTGGCCATAGTGTTTACCAGATGCGAGCCTCCGTACTGGATTGCAATGGTATCACCGTGGTCGTGCCACATATCAGTGAATAAGTTGACAGCATCGGTGTCGTACTCCACAGTCGTTCCATCAATAATTCCCAAAGCGTGAAGTTGGTATCCCAAGGCGCGCTTTCCAATAACGAATTGAGCAGCATTTGTACGGTCTAAACAATCGATGCAGTTCGTCCTCGCGATGCCATTTTGCAGACGCAAGCCAGACTCTGCATCATATCCGTTCTTGAAGAAGCCGGTCTTCGGAACAATCTCGCCCGCGATATGCTCTAATGTTCCAATGACGTCTTGGTCTCTGCTTTTTGCAGCACGGCTCATGTCCCAGGGCTGATAGATAATCTTCTTATCCTCGGGCAGGAACTGGTTCAGATACTGGATGGCGTTCGTGTACTCCTTGAGCAACTTGGACTCCCGTGGGGTTCGTTCTCGCGATTTTATCAGGTTGAGCACATAAACTGGTGCGCCGTATCTCTCAAAAAGGTTGTCAAAGTGTAGTGCAGCAGCGGAGTAGAAGGGGTCAACCAAGTTTAGTTCAATATCAGGTTTGGGAGACACCCCTGAGTTTTCCTGTGTCCAGTAGAGCGGAATACTCCCACGGTGTTGCACGTAAGAGGTGTACAGTGGGTTAGCATAGAGGTTTGGACCGGGAGAATGAAATGACGTGGCTGTCATCTCGGACACTATCTGCTCCGTTTCAACATCGTTTGCTACATAGCCTAGATCGTTCGCGCCCCTCTTCAGGAATCGGGCCCCTGCGAAGAACCGAGAGCGTCGCGCAATGATCGTAATGTAAACTAACCGCCCGTACACTGACATCTTTGCCTGTTCAACATATCCATGAATGATTGGTAAACACCATTCCCAAGGATTTTTCAAAGTTTCGAGGGCCGGCCCGAGAAGATGGTGATTCCAAATGAACATCGTATTGTAGTCTTGCTGAAGGTGTTTCGGGTGTCCGTCCTGGTTGGCGGTGCGTTCCCGACAAATGTTGTGCTGCAAAGTGTGGGTGATATCGTAAGAATAGCTGAAGTAGAAGGATCGGGTTAGATCCAAATTATTTAAGATGGCAATATACCTCGCCTCCTCCGGGTTCTTCTCCGGGCGGAGACGAGACGAGCTTGAAGTCGTCAACGAGATGAGCTCCGTTCCATCGATCTGATAGACATAGTGACCTCCGAGCATAGCAACCTGGCTTCTCTTGGTCACCAGAAGCATGTAGTAAGCATCCGTAAATCGTATAAACCCTAGTAAAGCCCATGCACTGCACTTCAGCTTCAACCCACCCGACCGTTTATTTCCATCATCGATCGTATCCAACAACTGGCTCATCTCCCGCTTGCTGTAAACAATATCATCCTCTGAAATGCTGAGGTCCCCGGATTCCGACGTTCGATCGATCTTGAGAATCCTAAATCGGGTATCCGACAAGTCCATTCCCACCATGTAGAATCGGGTGGCTGTCTCGTACAAGGAGAACTTGTGCATGCGATTGATCCCTTCCTCTCCTCCGGTGTCGAAGAAGGCCGAGCGTTGCTTTTGCGCCGAGGTGGGCGTAGAATCCCGCTCAAAGGATGTTGCAACCTGGGGCTCTTCATCTCCTGCCTCCACCCCATCTTCACTCAGGGCAGGTACTGCTGGGGATGCGTAATGTAATGGGGTGAATGGGGAGGCTGCGCGAGGTGATCGGAGGCCATCTTCGTGATCGATAAAGCTTCGAGGGGCCGAGTCAGGCTGCTCTTCTGGGAACTTGGTGCTGGAGCCGGAGGTAAACGAGGCATCGGCGTAAGGGAGGTGGAGATCTGAGGTGGAGTTGGGCGAACTGGTATCTATCAAGGACACCGCTCTGGAGGACTGGTCGTCCAGTGGACCGAGGCTTTTGTCTTCCGCGGCCTCGCGGGAGAGGGACACTTCATCCAGACTCTCCATAATGAAGGCAGAGGCTGGTGAAATCCCGCACCAGCATCATATGTATTCTCGGTTGTTAGCGCGCAGCGCCTATGCGGAAAGATAATCGAAACGGCGACCAGAGTAGTAGTAAGTGACGTCGGACGCGGGTGAGTGGTGGGGGGGATCGACTTGCGACAAGGAGCTTCACGTGATCACAATCACCCCCAATAAGGCACCGATCAGATCTAGGTAGTAAGTAGTTAACTAGATACCATCATCCAGCCCAGCCCAACGAAAAACCTCAGATAATGGGGATAGGATTATACAATGGCATCAAATGCCTACTACACTGAGAAACTTCCTCGGGTTCACGAGAATAAGATTTATGTTGGATGAAGACATTACTGATCACCAAAGTACTGATACGCACTCGGCAACATACAACAGTCTTGATCAGGCGGTTATTACCCCATGTATTGATACCTCCCGAAGAAAAATGTGATCCAATTTGCAAGCTCCATATTATGCTTTGCCACTATCGTCTTGCCAACAAGTAACAGTAGATCTGAAGTGATCTTCGACCTAAACACATCCCGAACTCCACGACTGGATATAAGGGCAATCTCACTCCCCACGTTCCGCTTTTTCAATCTCTGCCAACGCCTTCTGTATCATCTCTTGCGTACTCACCCGAGAGAACAGAAGCTGTGCCGCCTTCAAGCCATCCTTCCAAAGATGCCACTTTCCCATTGTGAAGCGCGGTCGCGGAGGAGGATCATCAGCGTCTCCGAATATTCGTTGGACCTGACAGTTCTCCCACATTCGCTGACCGGCATAGATATACCAGATACATGAGATACGCACGGCCTCTTCCACCAGCGGATCGCATTCCTCAAACGTTTCTCGACACGCCCACAGCGCATATAGTGATGCGTCAATGGCATGGCCGAGATGGTCTGCTTTCGCGGTCAGCTGCGCCATAAACGCATTGCGATTCTCCCACTCCTGGAGTTCGCGTGGAGGATACTCCATCCGGGGATCATCGTCGGCCTGCTGGGCGTACTCTGTACGTGACGCCAATTGCAGGGTTAGCCGTGGAATCAACCGCCAATAAGAAAGAAGGAAGGAGAGAAAGAGAAGAAGTATATAAGTAAATAGGTGTAACGTACTGGGGTCGTATGTGAAAGAATACATATCCCTCAAGTAGACTCCGAGATAGGGGAGTTCAGTCCATAACTTCATGCCCACTGACGTTGGCTCTTGGCCCGTGTCAGGATCGACAATCTTGGTGCGTTGAAGATGGGCAATGAATTCGATAAGCTTGTGCTGCTGCGCAGCTGGAGTAAGATTCGCAATTTTTACAACCGTGACCATGGCAATCCATGTGTGTGTGCCATCGATCTCAGTCGGGGGTTCCCCTCCCTCCTGGTGTAAGACCTCGCGCACCCGAAGCAGATTTTGGACTGCCTCGGCTGGTGAGACATCAGGATTCTGTACCAGCTCACTGATGACTTGGTATTCCGGTCGCGCAAGGAACACTTCGCCGAAGCCTTCCATCATGAAAAGGCGTTTCGAGGTTTCAGGAAAGCAAGGTCAACGACACCATTTGAGTGGTTTAAATAAAGGATGTTGGGGCAGGCTGGGCTGGCGGTCAGCACTAGCCGGGATACCTGATCAACTCAGCAGCCAACAAATAACATCCTTCAGAAGCAAGGCCTGATTTGGATGTAGTATACATCTATTTTAGGTGTTGATAGATTCGAAAGACAATATTACTGATAGTGCTACTAATAGTAGACCACTAATCCCAGGCCAAGGGAAATAGGTTCAAATACATATTCACTATATTTGGAATCAATAAAATGATCTACTGTTGTCACTAACACATGTTTGCTACCCAAAATAAGGTAACATCCATCGGTACTAGGTAATCAGTGCCAGTGAATATTGAGCAAGGGTAACCAGTCATACATTGAAATATATGCTACACTAGCAATCCGTTTGCTGCTATCATGTTCAGTTTGATAACAAAGGCTAACATGATCACGCCTTCTACACTAAACGGGTACGACGGTCTCATAACGGAAAGTCATCAGTTAGGGAATGATGATTCTGAGTATCAGTGGCCAATTAACAGTGCCTACAATGTATACAAAACTGACCATTTTAAAGAAGATCAAGACTAGGAAGAAATATACACATCTGCCATGGTCCCTACATTTTTATAACAGAGATAGAAGTGCAAATACCGGACAGTATATCGTTTTGGATAATACAATCATGACCGGCTACAAGATTCAGTGAGAAGGAACAGAAAGACATAGAGGTGGAAATATTCAGGAGATTTATGATTACTCACGTCTGAAAGTACGGACGAGGATCTCGAAGGACAGGTATTTTGTGCAGTAATAATGTTCAAGAGGTAGACGAAAGACAAACATATACACTATCTACTTTGCAAAGCGCGTATGAACATAATGAAAGATCGAAGATACTTGAAGAACATATGGTCCATATATCCTCATTCTCCTCAAAGGCTTCAAGGTCGCAGACTTTTGCCGTTGGATGATTTGGATGATGTTACATACTGAAGTTCATACGATCCTCACTGGCATGCATGTAAAGGCCAGAATCTCTCATCAGAGGATTTTGATAACAGCGATATTAGCTGGAAACGTTGCTAGAGACTTTACTAAAGAACTTTTGAACCTTATCACTGACATCAGGGTCCAGTATCTCTTTATGGGGAGTTCCTATGTGCGACAAGACATATGTCGTGGTTTTATTATATGGACCAGCGATGTGGGTGGGGATGAGTAGTGGAGTAGTTGAACTAGGGATTGCCGCAAGGTATGAGAACGATAAATCAAGAAAGAGAGTCGGATTTAATCTGCACCTAGTTAAAGGTAGCTCTGGCTCCTGGAGTTACTATTTCCGAGATTGTCCTCGGGCCTGTCTAGTCTGGTTCCCTGGTTAGGACAATGAGTTGCCTATGAGCTTGGCTACCAACGCCAGGGCCTGCTGAGGGAATGTCTGGATTCAGGAAGCCTGCGCCTTCAGCTTCATGTGAGCCTTCATGTACTTTATGAGCCTCCGACAGTGAGTTAGAATAGTAAAGTATATATACGTGACGATGAAGCAAAGTTGCTAATCTCGATAGTCGGCCCTTGTATTTGCTGAGAAGCAGAGTTGAATTTGAGAGACCATGGCAGTGCTGTAGCAAACAAACGCAAAATGGATGCGATTTGTAGGCTTGCCCAAAGATGTACGGGTGTAGTGTCAACCCCTGCGCACAGAGGAGGGGGAAATGGTCAGAGGCGTAAGCCTTCCCGGCCAAGCGGATAACCCTGCACGAAGGGTCGTCTTCAATGAGCATTTCCTGATGGCGACGCAAGGCTTATGAGGTTGAAAGCAATTTCCAGTTTCAAATAATAAATCCCCGCTACCGAGGCGGGTGTCAAAGTCTACCCGGCAAGAGTCGTAACCTGACATTGGGTAAGGTCTGATCTCAGAGTCGCTTCAAAGTATGGTAACTCGCTGATGGGCCTATAAGGGAGCTGCAGCCTGCGTCTATCCTCGTCTCTTCGAGCGAGTTAATGAGCATGAGGAATCAAATTGATGGGGTATATCAATCTAAAGACAGAACAAAACAATGGATATACTGTCTAGAATCGAGCGGCCGGCGGTTTAGCTTCTTGCGTAGTACATGATGCCGCATTTCCCTGACGACAATAGCACGACGATCTAATTGAAACATCGGCCGTTGCAACTGCCTGTTTCAAGAAAGGCTTCACGATTTGAGCTTCAGCCGTTCGCCCCAGTCTGTTCAGGCATTCGTAATATCCATGCAGCGCCCATACATTATTCGGGTGCTGCCTCGCACGAGGCAGCGTGTCGTCAAATCCAAGATCAGCCTGGTATACCGCTGCTGCCTCCTGGATATGTCCCTGTTCTAGCAGGAGCGCACCGTACGCATGACGGGTCGGTTGCATCCACCCCCACGGCTCGTCATATGGTAACCCATCATCCAGCGTGATAGATCGCCGTAGATGGGTAAAGGCCACGTCATAGTTGCCACGGCGATACTCGAGCTCTCCATCCAGCATAGCGTCAGCCACAGCCAAGATGTCCAGACACTTGTTGGTAAATAACATTCGGCTGTAAGGTACACGCTTCACAGCCTCCTTAAACAGCGCGCTCTGTTGACTCGCTTCATCTATCCTCCCAAGCGCAGCCAACGCCACTCCCTTCCCGTACTGGATCATTGCAGTGGTGACACAATATAGCTGCGTGTCATGCGGGTATTCAAGGGCAAGAAGATCCTCCCAACGTCCAAAGCGAATCAGGACATGCACCTTCATGCTCACAAAGCCTTCCAGCCAGTCAGCCATAGGCGGGGATTCGATACGCAGGAGCTGCTCTGGAATGGATGACTCCAGACTCTTTACCGTGTCCAACGCAACTTGCGACTGCCCCGCAAACATCGCCGCATATACTCTGAAGTGATAATCATGCGATCGATATAACGTATAAAAGTTGACTGCGCCCTCACGGGCAAGGAACTTTTCATCTGCTCGAATTGCATCAGAGTTCGATGCAATCGCCCGTCGATAGTCACCACAGAGAATGTCCAAATGCGATGGCATGTGATTAAGATGGCCTGCATCAGGTACTAACCCCCGCAAATGGTCTGCTACCCTGAGTGCTGCTTCCGGCTCACTGGACATCTCCATTAAGTGGATGTATAGATGCAGGATTCCAGGGTGTCGTAGCGCCTCGTCCTGGGTCAGCGCCAGATCTAAGACTTTCTTGATTTGCACAGTATGCGCATCAGCTGCAGGCTGACCAGTTCGTAAGTCCCAGAGGGCCCATGGAGTTAAGTTCATGAGAGCATCCGCATACAAAGCCACCACATCTAAATCATTGGGAAAGCGTAAGTAAACAGATTCCATGGCGTTAGCGTACTCCTTGTTCCAGCCGTTAAAGTCATCGGGCGCCACGTTCTGAGGGTATCGATGTTGCAGGGCTGCGATAAGCGCTGCTTCCACGGGTTGGGTGGTTGTGGCGTGCGTCTGGGCCTCTGCGACAGCTTCGTGGGTACGCTGCACGGCGACCTCGAGTTCTTGCTCGTCGAAGGACTGCCAAGTTTTGTTGTAGTTGGGACCCAAGGTGTATGCAAGACCCCAGTATGCCATCGCGCAGGTCGAGTCATGTGTGATGGCTTTTTGGAAACAGTTGGCCGCTGCTTCGTGATTGAAGGCATATGTCCAGATGAGACCGCGGTCGAACCAAAGTTGAGCCTGAGGGCTGGAGGTGGTGACCGGTCGGCGGAAGGAACCGAAGTCGTAATAATCATCTGGTTCCTGGGCCGACATGATTGAGGAGCTCTGAAATTATTACAGCAAAGCAGAGCTAAGAAGAGATACGTAGGTGGCTTGCCGATGCTGTTCCTGAAGTTGAGGGGGGATGATCCCGTAGTAATACCAATAGTAGATGGTGAGTAGTAGTAGATAGTTGATAGTGAGGATGTCCCCGCTATCGAACCAAGGTTCCCAGGCTGCAGGGAATAACAATAGTCCGAGGAGGGTCACATAACTATACCAGGTTCGTTCCAATCGTCACAACCTGTTAGTCTACATGGTAGATTCCATCATTGACTGATGATCTTGGGAAAGGATGGTATAACTTACAAAAATGCGTAGCCTTCGTATTTTACGGCCCAGCTTTTGATACAAGTACACTGCCAGGGTTGTATAGAGACTATCGAGACAGCATTAATCGCCATATAATAATACAGCAGCAAGAACAGAAACAGTGTTCGATGAAATCGAGTACTTCGATACTTTCGACTGCTGAATGACGGGCGCGAAGCGTGCTTTTATTTACTTTCCTGAAACATCAGGGCCAAGTACCCAGGACGAAGACTGATAGCTTGTAGGCAACTGGCTGTGTGCCGGTGGCAAGGAGTAAAGGTAGAAACTGGCTGTTGTTACACTCATTTACAATCTATATATTTCTCTAGTGTTGTGTTTGGGTATGTTATCAACTTCGTATATGTACATAAAGGTTTGTATTCCGTCCGCTCAGTGATCCAATCGTCTTTAGCATCATAGTGTTGCTTCAGGTGGCCAAGTGAACCCTGCATGGACAGCATCTTATATAGCAAGAAGAATCGATCAGGTCAAAGAGTTTGGCCTGAACCGAGATTCTTTCGAGCCATTTATGCTTCTTTTTCTCCTCGTTTGGAACACCGGTAAGGTACCGACTGCAGAGCGGATCCTTAACTGCTATATATCACGAGACTTCTGGCGTGGCCCGCAAGCTGCCGAAACGGAAGGACGAGACAAAACAGACAAACGGACAAGTTCCCACCCAGGTCTAAAAAGCAAAACTATGCCACCATAACCAAAATACTTTTCAGCGCTGCGAGCGCTGTGACCGCATGGTCGACTGGCGACGGATAATGTCGCCATGGTTCCATGTCTGGCTTGCGCGGTCCTTCGGGTCGAGACTGGTAGAAGCCCCGTGCTCCGGTCGACCCTGGGATTGCTGGCGGTCCATAGACATCTGACTAAGACTAGAGGTGCGACGGCGCATGCGCCGTTCTGCGTCTGCGATCTCATTCTGATTCAAGGATTCCGAAGGGAGCAGAATGGCGCGGTCCAAGGCATAGGGCAGGCCGCGATGACGGCCTCGGATTTGCATCGCAATTATGACCAGCTTGGAGAGAACCTGAAACTGGCTGGAGAAGGATGCATTGACTCCGGGATACCCGAGCGAAAGACCAACGGTGCCATACGCTGAGACAACTTCGAACAGCACGGACCACACTTGGAAGGAATACTCATCTTGCTGCTGGAGTCGCTTGCCTTCCACAATAGTAATGATGAACAGGCCCAGGAACACATACCACAGATCAAAACTGAGCTGTTTGCGCAAATGCGCTCCGATATAGCTGGGCGCTGTCTGGTTCTCATCCGACTCATCATCCTCGGTAGAAGCGTAGATGCCTAGACTCTTCTCCTCGTAGACGTTGGTGCGCCGTAAGGAGATGGCAATGGGGAACACGGATATATACATCATGATCAAGTAGGACACCTGCACAGCCGGGTGTAGGTCTGATACAGAGATAACAGCCAATCCGGCGGTTCGAGTACAGGCGGCCTGGAACAGACCGTCCACGATACGGATACCAGTGGGCAGGGATGTGACGACCGAGTCATTCAAGTCCAGAATAATGAAAAATATCAAGTCAATACCATTCAAGGCCACCAGAATCGCAAAGAGCCACCACGTGGCATTCCTCGGAAAGAGTAGAGTGAAGCATCGACGTGGATGATCAAGCAGAAAGCGGAGTTCCTCCCATAGCGGGGTTTCGGCACGAGTCACTTTGGACAGAGCCCAAATAATCAGGCGCAGCATGCAAGGGAACCCTGTATTCCCGATAATGATCAAAAAAGTCATGAGCAGGAGCGGGAATATCGCTTTCTGGAATGATGATAGTGAGTCTGGCGTGAGAGTAAAGCCGACATCGTTGAAAGCCGATTGAGCCATGAAAATGGCCCACCAAGGGCGACCCTGTCCGATTTCCTCGACCACCTTGCCCCAGTGTGTGGTCATAATCCAAGGCACGAGGCACAGGATGCCAAGAATGTGGAAGAAGGCATAGTAGGAGATTAGTACTACTGCCAGAGTCTTCAATGCCCGATACTCGATCCCGCCGAGCTCGTCACGTTGTTCCTCAGTTAGGTCGACAAAGTTTGAATTCCGACCAACCGTGGCATTCCAGCTGAGATACGGCTGTGTTGACCGTTCACGTTCCTGCGTAAGAGTGCGGAAAAGGTTGTGTAAGGTTGGTCGTCGCGATGTCAAGCGACCCAGTTGCGAGGCATCGCTATCATTCTTTGTTTCACGGAAAGTGGGACGTGTATCTAATCGGGGGAAAGTAGAGTTCCGCGTCCTCGTTCGAATCATATCTGGCTCGTTAATCGTGATATGGGGCCCATCAAGTCTGCGCGGCCTATCCTCGTCCTTATCCTCGTCCTCGTCGTCCTCATCCTTGCCATTCTCGTCTTCTTTGCTCATATCACATGGGCTGCGCTCGGAACTCGAGGAGTTGCTAGACGTGCGAACAGGTCGATTTGTCTCCTCCTCTTCCTCCTCCAATACCTGGGGTGCGCCACCGTTGTCATACTCCCGAGGGCTAGGTATCCGCAGCGCGCCTTTGTTCCTCCGTTGATTCTCCAGGAATGCGATGTGATGTTCTGGGCTCAGCTGAGCCGGAACACGAAGGTTTCCTAGACTATTTCCCAGTCCAATTGCTAACTTTTGATTGAGGGCATTGTTCGCATCTTCACCCAAATTTTCGGGTGGATCCCGCGCGGTGGGAGAGGCGGGAGGCGAGTCCTCGCCGGATTTCTCCTTGACCTGCTGTCGGCTCCCCGACTGACCTAGTGTGTCGCGCAGGACGACGATGGACCGACCAGCGACCCCAGCCTCTTCCCGGGAAGAAGACTGACCATCCTTATCTTCGCTTATAGTACGGAGGCGGGAGCGAGTATGGCGAAGGGCGCGCGCATCGCTAACGACATGCTGAAACCGCTTTTCGAACCAGTACAGACGCACAAAGACCAGCACAGTGTGGATAAAGATGGGAGTGGTCAGCATGGAGACCACATACAAAACGATCTGCTGGTAGGTATGCAAGGTATTAAGGTCGACGGTGTTGAGACCGCTCTGAGTGGCGGCGCCGGCCGATAGGAAGAGGGCATCGGTGTAATCTAGATTAGCCCCTGGATAGATGATGACTGAGGAAAGCAAAGCGGTGGCGATGATATAGACATAGTGGATGAGAACAAAATTCATGCGCAGATTCTTTAGCCATGGAATGTGGGAGGTGAAGCGTGAAGTGACCGAGGTCGCCCGCCGCAGCACGGCGGAAAACATCCTGCGGTTTCACCCGCACCGACTGGGACACTTTGGATTTGCAGGGAGGGAAACTGTATCGGTAGGAGAATAACGGATAGGAGGTTCGAAGAACGAAGGGGCTGCCGAATGAAGACGGCTGGTTGCCGATCAATATGTACTAGGCGGAAGAAAAAGAAGACGCAGACCAGGCCAAAGTCGCTGCAGGTCAGAGACCCACAATCGCAACAGCACTTTGAGCTGAGGAAACGAGGATCAACATGATTTGAGGAGAGCTATATTGGAAGGAAAGAGAGGATGCTGGAGGCCGGGCGCAGATAAGGGGACACAGAAAGGTCGTGGAGAAGAAAGAGAGGACGGGAAGGCCCGAGATGCAAGAAGACAAGACAGGCGAAACCAGCGGCGGAGGGGGGGAATGACGACTCGGTTGGATGAGATGGTCTTGGGGGAGGTGGTGATAAAGTGGCCAGCTTTGAAACCGAGATTGTTAGACCTCCACTATATCGGTGAGCACCCACTTGATTTATGGTGGTTGCTGGGGGGGGGGGGGAATAAAAATTCGATTGGAAGCTTGACAATTCGACAAAGGAGGCCGGATTGGCGCAGCAAAGAAAAGAGAAAAAAGTATCAGCAGAAGAACCGGAGGGTAAAAAGGCGCTATGCCGATCGGTCGAGCGCGGAATTAAGAGACATGCTGTCCACGGACAATTTCATTGGAGCCTAATCAGCATCTCTGGACTCTATCTCGCAGGTTTTAACGTTGAGACTAGTCCCGAGTAGCACACGGCTTGTCTTGACTTTTGTGACGGGGGGAAAAAGGAAACGCGGGTTAGTTCTGGACCAGCGGTCACGTGAATGTCTGCCAATTCTCTGCCGGCCGGCCATCGATCGATCGATCGATCAATCTACTCTCTACTATCTACTACCTGTCTATTTGGATACAGCAAATGGAATTTAAATAAGTAATATCCCTCCGTGTAATCTACACAACTTTCTTTCTTAATGTACACAGGTCTTTATTCCCTAAAATTCACCGTACATTGACGGCAGGGGACGCAGATCCCATCATTTTCCGTGACATCTCCGGGCCCCTTTGGCAACTATCTATTTCTAGAAGGACGTCCGAAAACGGCGCGTGCCGCTGGCTAAGTTATGTTGCCTGGTTCCGCAACGCCAAAAATGGACCCTACGCATCACGGAACCCAGGCCCAAAACAGGTCACCCGCAAATATCCGCTGCCGTTTCCGATCCAGTACATCTTCTACAATGTGAGCATTGATGATTGATCCATCAAATGACACAGATAACATCGGAGATATCGGGCTTGGCAAGAGGCCAGTTCCAAATGTTGCTCGGTCCGAGTGTTGCTAGCTAGCTTTTCTGCTGGTGTCTCGGTATGCTTGCTGGTGTGATGGTAGGCTAAGAAATCGCAACTTGCGGATCGGATCGC